TTGAATTTCAAACATCAGACTCCATTTTCCTACGGTTACCTGACAAAGTGGGCTTCCTTGCACTGATTATAGTATGCAAAGTAGCTAATTGCTGTATTTACTTACTTTTGCCATTTTGTTGACCAATAACAACCTGTAAAATGATACCAAACTCAACTATAGGGTACTTCCCATTTGAACATTTTGAGCTACCACCTAACCCCTCTGGAAGGGGCAAAAATGTCAAAACTAACCATCATCATTTTTGTAGCCCCTTGTATTTAAAAGGTTACCGCAAAACGATTTCAAATATCTTAAATATCTAAAAAGTTAAGGGGGGCGCAAGCTAATTTTCAGCCACCCTCATGGTTAGTTGGATTTGAAACGTTTTAGGGCTCAATTTTGTTATTAGTGGTCCGATTTTGGTTTTCTTTATGTCAATTGTTTAGTTTTGTCAAGACCTGTAAAATTATACCAAACTCGAATATACTTGCCATTTGAAAATTTTGAGCTACCCCCTACCCCACTATCCCTAAGGGCAAAAATTTCAAAATTAACCATCATTGTTTTTGTAGCCCCTCATATCTAAGAAGTTTGTCGCAGTCGATTTCAAATATCTCAAATGGTTGGAAAGTTAAGTGGGGTGCAAGTTACTTTTCAGCCACCCTGTATATGTGATCGAATGAAACTATTGTTGTTGTAATCAACGTATTGTCTCTAAAAAATCTACATAAATTCAGAATAAGCAGTGGAAAATAATAAACATATTTACTCTGAATATGTTCCGCTAACGCTGCGAAACTTTGTAGTAGTCCACATTTAGTCTGTGATCAGTTCCAGTGCTCACTTTGTAATGTTTAAAGCATTTTTTGATTCTCTTGTAGAATTTTAAGACACATAGCTGTGATTGTAATATGCACATCGTGCCGTTAAATTATTGGTTTGGAAGTCAATTAAGTAAAAGTTAAATGTTCTAATTATGATTTTTGCACTAATATGCCATGATTTTGATTATTTAATTCATATATAATCTCGCACTCAACCTTGCACTTTGAATACACTCTATTAGTATTTACATAATGTGTGGGCTTTACAATAATATCCCAATTATTCTGGGTATAATGCTATATTTACTGGGTTAACATACTTTTAAACTGAATAAAATAAACATATTTTTACTAGATACTAATTACCTTATTAAGAGTAATATATAATTTCACGGGCTGTATGGCGTATGAAAATTCCTGGTCTGCAGTCAACTATGTTGGAAATATATCTAATACAAATCACATGCCGCAGGATCCATTGACTCGAGATACGCGTGATACAAAACTAAATAAATACCTAATATACAGGGTGTTTCTAAATTTGTCTGGACATATTTTCTGGACTTGTTCCTTGGGCTAAGACAAACATAAAATGCCGTATAAGTATGGGTCTAAAATGCCTAGATTTCTATTTGTCGGCCTGTTTGTGATTTTATGAATTATTTTATATCTTGGGCATTTTTTCGAGATAGAAATTTCAAATGACAAAAAAACCGAGTTATCAGTATTTTCTACATTCGGATACGCAATTTAATAGAACTTCCATATTGTTTATTATTTGTTATTTTACAGAGCAGTACATGGTAGTCCTATTAAATTGCGTAGGTCTACCGTAACTAAATGTAGAAAAAACTGATAACTTGGTTGTTTGTCATCAGATTTTAACAAACGAGTTCTTATTTGATTTGGATTTAAATTCTCAATCTTTTTGAAATGAAGAACAATTTCCTTAATATTTACGGTTTTCATGAAATTTGGCACTAAAGATTTTTTAAATTACCGCCATATTAAAACGGCTTGAGATATTGGAACGAAACTTTGTAAGCTCTTTTTACCTACTAAAATACACATTTATACCAATTTTAAAATTTCTATCTTAAAAAATTCCCAAAAGAAATAATTATAAAAAATCACAAACAGACAGAAATCTAGGCTGTTTAGACACATATATGGCATTTTATGTTCGTCTTAGCCCAAGGAACAAGTCCACAAAATATGTCCAGACAATTTGGAAACACTCTGTAAATAACAACTGTATATGGGATAGATACAAAATAATTGGTTATCCCCACAAGGTTTTATAATCATGCAGTATTTCTATCTATTTTACCCGGTAGTAAAAATATAGACTTTAGAAATAGAATTAAATAATCGCAAATAAATGTGAGGCATACTCCGAATCCTCCATTAGGTTAGTACAGTATTCATTTGTTTATTTTAAATGACAAATTATTTGAAAGATACAATGAAATACTAAAGATGGCTAGGCTAGACCGTTAGCCATGATTGGTCTAGGATATACGTACGTCAAGAGGTTGCTTCCTGCAAATTTGCAAGAATGCGAATGTAACAAGAACAATTAAAAAAAGGTTATATCTTTATTTATTATTGTCGTAATGGACAAAAGGGAGCAGTGACGGCGATATACATTGTTCCCTTGTATTAGATTACCTAACTGTTGGTACATTGTTACCGTTATGGATTTTTTTTTAAGAGTAAGTAATCGACTGATCAACACAAGTATATTGCTAATACTGTTTTCATAATTCATTATGTTATAGTTTTCAGTACATCCTGTATTGCAAAATGTGTTACGATTTAAGTACAATTAACGAAATATGAAGTTTCTTTCTATCAGTTAAAACAATCGTACTTTCCAAATATGAATACCGCCGCCGCAGCAAACCTGCAGACTAAGCGAATTTCCATTTCCCCGACTGGATTTCTACTAAAATATTCTCTTTAAATTTTCAGATTCATTTCCTATATAAATAACATAAATTTTAATGTGTACTTAGGCTTGCTGCTACATGGAAGGTATTGAGGTGGTTTTTTTTTATTGAAATGTTCATAGCTTAGTATAAAATAAACGAAATTGCCTAATTTGATTTAAATGTAAACATAAACAAACAAACTACAACAGTTTATTTATTCTCCATAAGAATAACATGGAAATTTTAAATTTACAATTTTTTGATTTGTCTCCGTATCCGTTATGCATATAACAACGCTTTATTTTACAAAATTATTTCTTTTTTTAAGCTCTACAAAATGGTTTGAAAATAAATTGTGAAATTTTGTGTTTTTAGGGTCAAAAATGGGAAAAACCAATTTTTACCCCATAAAACCTTCCCCATAAACCCCCGTATTCCGATCATGCTGGTTCGCGAACTCGTTCGAATAAACCTAGGTTTACACGTTTGTACCAAACTTCATAAAAATCGGATCATTTTTGCTCGGGTTATCGCGCTAACGGACACAGACATATATATATTAATTTGAACGAAGGGAGTTTTTGGCCTCTGGGGACCTCAAAACGAAAAAGTAAATCGGCCCCGGGTCTAGGTCTTACCATAAGACCTACGGTAATAGCTTATCTATATGGGAAATTCGCTAAAATCAAAGCGAGCTTTTCCCATTTCATTGACCCCGGTGTCCGCACTATATAAATGTCAGTGGTTCGTACCATAATTATGGAGGAAGGGGCGATGAGAGGGTGGGAGACTGTCGTCGCGTGCCCGCTACCCAACTACCAACTAAACGGTCATTTCACCAGGACAGGTGGAAGTCTCGCACGCCATGTTTGGTCGATAGCCTATTGTCAAATTCTTTATCGAGGGAGCTACTGCATGCTTGTTGACCATTGAAACCGATTCCAAATATTAATTCAGGGGCAACGTATGTTTACGTGTTGGTGCGGGTAAACATGCTCACCACGTGAGATGTTCGTACTTCAAACCCTCGCGGAGGGTTGTCTAACTATATTGTGGGATGTTCATGAAAAATATTCATGTCTCATGGTATTTGAACTTAAAAATTTACAGCATTTGAGTGTACGCTATTTGTATAAACGGAAGATAATGTACAGTCTTTGTTCTTCTTGGAATAAAATTAACACCCCAATATTTTTGGTGGGTAACTATTTCACTTGCGAAACACTTCTAAAATAAATGGTCAACAATGGGAACGCTCATTATGAGAACTGATTAACATAGGAAATGTCCACTATTGCATAACAGTCTTGGGACCGCGACCACGGTAGATGTTCCCGATATTGCTACGACCGCAGGATACGTCAACAATTCTCCACGGAAGATGTTAACGACTTCACCACCATTGCGGGGAACAATGGTGATGTTTCTACGGCCGTTAGTCGCTACCATGGAAGATTTTCACGATTTTGCCGTGATCGCAGGAGACGATGATGACGTATCTACGATCGCCAGACGCTACCGTGAAGATTTTAACGATTTGGCCGTGATCGCGGGAAACGATGATGACGTCTTTACGACCGCCAGACGCTACCATGGAAGATTTTCACGATTTTGCCGTAATCGCGGGAGACGATGATGACGTATCTACGACCGCCAATCGCTACCATGGAAGATGTTCACGATTTCACCGTTATCGCTGGTGAAGCAAATCCTCGACCGCAGGAGATCTTCAAAAATGTTCCATCATCGCAGGAGACTCATAACTTATTTCAATGTTATTAAAAGTTGCTAAGACCTATTCACCTAAAGTTGTGATTATGAAATACAATGGGTCGCTTATAACATCAGTTTCCTTTTGGATATGTAGGATTTTTGAAACAAGCAGAGTAGAAACGCTGTTCCCGCCTACAACACAAATTCTCTCCAAAATAACCCCTAATGGTTTTGGAGTATTCACTAAAAATCATTTTACAATTAATATGTTTCGTATTAAATTGTGTAATCAATTCTTATGAGCATGAACAGCAAGCTAACATAAATTATCATATTTCAAGAGTTCATAATTTCGTCCGGTGTCACAGAAAACATACTACTATATTCTTATAGTAGGTTATAGTAGTATGTTTTCTGTGCCGGTATTTATTAACCAGTTTTCTTTCAGAAAATAAATCGAACCAAATATTAACATTTAAATCAGTACACGAATTTCGTTGGAGTTGTGAGTATCGATTTAATTTGAAATACTGTTAATTTATTTTAGGGAGAAGTGACTTTGTGGGAGGAATTGACAATGAGGCCTTGGACTTTAGCCAACTTGAAGACTTCATCAATGACGACACTGATGAAAATCACACGTAAGTACCGGTATCAATTACTGTAGCATTAAATATCTGTACCATGAACATGCGAATCTAGCAAAATATATCTAATACATTCTTTTTGCATTTTTTTCTTTTTTTTTTAATTATCCATTTTTGCTTAAGTTAACTTCTTATACGACTGGTACCAAAACTGTCAAATTGAATAATTAACATTCAGGTCTGAAGAATACTTCAGTACCAGTTAACAATTTGTTGTTAATTTTGATATTTCTGTTAACAAATTTTCTTATGTTTATCGCTTGAATGGAGAGGATAACAAAAACTATATAAATCGTCATCAAGGTTGCAAAAACAATAAAAAAATTGTAACAAGCAAAGATTAATATTGCATGAATTGTGCATGTGCAATGGCAATGAGCTATTGAAATGTTTCTGATCTCGATGTAGTTTAAGACAAACATAAACTTTATACAAAATTTACAAAGACAACTTTTTTAAATTTCACAGTATCTGAAGCAGCAGGTTTGTGGTCATTTTGAGACTGGAAATCTAAATTCCAGTTTCTCAGAATGACCACAGGCTTACATCCCTAGATGTAACAAAGGTTTATCAACACACAATATTCCATGTTTTGGGTTATGAACACCGAGACATTTTTCCAGATATTTCGGAGACACACTGACCAACAATGAAGGACGTAACCTCGCCACTGTTGTGGACAGTCACAACCATCTCAAGACAGTTGGTAGTCAGCCTCAGCCAGTGGCCTCGGCAGTGCTCAGCACCCCGTCATCATCCTTCCCTCAGCCTACATCCTCTGTGTTAGTAGATGGATCATCATACACTCATCCGTAAGTGTTTAACACCACCAGTTGACAAGGTTATACAGCTAAGTATTTGTAGACGTTTTAGATCGTAAAACACATCAGAATGTTTTGGGATCTCAATTCTGTACTCTCATCAAAAGAGATATCAAGCAAGATTTTTCATTTTACATTTGTGTTTGTGGATGCCTGTGAACGTTACTGAGATCGTAATGGATATGTTGACGATGAACGAAATACGTATGTTGAGGCAAGATATCTGTTGTGCCTATGTGAGTGGAATATATATATATTTTTTTTTGTCCTTGGACGCTAGGTACAAGCCTTGGAATGGTTTTTCACATTACTTCAGGCTAGACCTAGGGGTTGCGGCATTATCACATGGATAAAATCTATTGGTTATTTGGCGGGATTTGAATCCAGGACCTCTAGAACCGAAGTCCCGCGCTCTAACCATTAGACCACTCCCCCCACTCAAAACTTAATATGAATTAGATTAAAAACTAGTCACAATTCTTCTTGTATCAGCCTGTTATATATACTATTGATAATAATGTTAGAAACTCAAATTTTATGTAAACCAACCTCAACCTGATTTATTGTGTATTAATGATCCTCTTGATTCTTGTAATGATTCCCGATTTAATTTTTTCCTTAAAAATTAAGAACGGTTTTTACCTTAGGAGTTATAAGTTTTATTCCCCTAACAATTTTTACTCCTTTCATTGAGTATAATTTATCCTTATCCTAACATTGTTGGAATGTATGTAAATTATCACCAATTCCTGGATATAAAGATAGCCCAGGATTTTTTTGGATATGAACACACATTCCTGTTAAAGTAAATGATAAAATCAATAGTTGGATTGAATTCAAGATTTTATTAAGGTCAATGTAAAACTGAACTGTTTACAAAAAAACAAACATTAACAATAATAAAATCAACATAAAAATGTAAAATATTTAGTTTGAAATAACTGACATTTAATATGATGGCAAAGACCAGAAGGAAGAGTAGACACTACACTGTGATCAGCTGATTCTAATTTTAAATCAAATATTTTGTATAAAAGAATGTCTTTTGCAATCAATACGTTTTCAAACCCCTTATAACCATCATCTATCCATGCAGAAAAAAAAAATACTACTGTAGTAGTGATGAAGATAGGTAAACTGGTGGTCCCAAGAAAAAGTTGTTTCAATTTATTTGTTTCTTACTGAAATGATCAATTTTAAGATACCGCCTGCATGTTGTCTGTTGAATGTTGAATCACCCTGTATTCAAGCAAACTACTATCACCATATGTCATTTATTTATTCTAATTACCAATACATGCTATATGAAATGCAACATAATCTATCACCTGTGTTGTTAATAACCTCCATCTACGCCACTGACCTGAATCAACCTCACAAAGTGTCTGCAGACAGATCCGCACAAAATATTTTTTTTTTTTACTGCAATCTATATCCTTTGGCTTTACTGATAATCATACTATATAAAATATATATATAAATAGTTCTTCTTCTGCTGATCGTTTAGCTTTGAGGTAGATGAAGTAGCTTTAGAGTTTCAATACATCAGTTAGTCTGTTATTTCATTTACCTATCAATATATAATCTACTGTTTATTTCTTACTATACTATTACTTTATTATTATTGTTATCAGTATATCAATAATGGCAAGCTATGCTTGAGGAAAGGGCTTGACGGAGACGATGCCCTAGAATGTGATGGACCTTGCCATCATTGGTAACACATTTAATGTGTAGCAGTCAGTAAATCTGAGTATGCGTTATTCAGTCAGAATGTTTGCAAAAAATGGTTCAGTCATAGGTTCAACTGTTCTGTTGCTGCTTTCGGTCCTTTCAACATCTTGATGAGTAGCAAAGTTTGCATTACTAGCCCCTGAGGACGAGCTTAAAAGTCTTGTACAGTAAGTGTAATTACAGAAAAAAACTGACATCGGGAAACTCAATGACCAAACAAGTAACTTTGAAAGCCTCTTATTGATAGCTTAGAAGAGGAAATGGATTGTTTGAAATCAAGCCATGACACATTGTATGAATATAAAGCAGAATCCCTTATTGAAGAGATTAGTGATAGAAAGAAACACTTTTGTAACATTATTTTACCTTTTAGCGAATTTCCCTATAGGGAAGTAGCTATTACCGTAGGTGGCACGGTAAGACCTAGACCCGGGACCGATTTACTTTTTCATTTTGATGTCCCCAGAGGCCAAAAACACTATTCGTTCAAATTTTTATATATGTATATATAAAATGAATAAATAAATTTAAAATTCCCATGTTATTCTTATGGAGAATATTGTCAAATGTTGTAGTTTGCTTGTTTATGAATATATTTTGATCAAACTTGGCAAATTTATTTATTTTGTACTAAGCTATCAATATTTTACTCAAAAACACACTTTATTAGTTTCCTTGTAGCAGCAAACCTAGGTACTCGTTAAACCTAATGTTATTAAAATATATTTAACTGAAAATCAATTCATACAAATGGAAATTCGCTTAGTCGGCAGGTTTGCTGCGGCGGGGGTATTTCTTAGTTTTTTAGAGAGTGGATGGAAAATGCTTTCACAAACACAGGTGCCCAGCCTGTAGTGTGAGACTCCTGCATTGATCTGACTTTTCACTAAAAAAAACACACAAAAAATGCTTCTATTCTTTTGGACACAGACCTGGGATTGTTTGTCTCATTTTTTCAGGTCAGGCTAACTTGTGACTTATGCCCTTTTAGGACTCACACCGTTTCCGGTATTTCTTGATTCTTGCTGCGGAGAATCCCCTGGACGAACAGTGACAAATAGGTCCAATTGTCCTCACCCTCCATCATCATCAGGATGATCGTGTCCACCGACAGCAGTCCTACATGGAGTTGAGCCTTGTCATCAGGAGTGCCCGGACAGTAGATGCAATTTGGGTGACGACCTTACCCATCCTGAACAAGAACTACCGAAAATAGTCATGACCTGTCAGAAACTGGGTGAGGTAACAATCCACCACCCTGTACTGCAGCCACAAGTGTACGGAGAAACCACGACGTTATTGGCTTTCCCAACTATAATGGTTTTCCCGTGGGCCGAGTATACTCATTGTCCGTGGGCCTTCTGCTGTGTCATAAGTATCCAGACCCCGAGGTAATCAATGTTTTCCAGAGCGTCCATTATATCATACTACCTCGCAGTTCGAATTAAATTCGTCAAATCACATCAAGTGTTACAAGCAGCACTGTCTGACGAGAGTAGTGGTTGAAATCCTCAGCTCTTATCATGGCTCGCTTCATCTCCTCAATAGTGTCGACCGTTGGCCACCCCTTTCTGAAGCCATACTGTCAGGTCCCCTGCAGCAACCTGGAATGACATAAGTTGGTAAGGTATGAACTAAGATCAATACTAGGAGGTCTGTGAGAGGACGGTAGTTTTGGGTTTCTGTTCTCCTTCCCCACAAGCACAAGCCTAGCTGTTTTCCAGCACTAGGGAAGCATTTCCTCAGCCAGACACGCATTGTACAATTGTATGTGCCCAAAAGGATCATAATGACTGATAGAACCTTTTAGAGAGCCTCATCAGGTCCAGGAGCCGTCTTGTTCTTCAGGAATAGAACCACAGTCTCCAATTCCTCAAGACTGAATTGTGGGACGTTGTCCACCCTTCCAAACTCTTTCAGTGGGCACATGGTGTGAGTAAGGAAAAGGGGGACCTGACTATCGTTCCCATGGCCCCCCCTCCTTGACAGAAAGTGGAATGTGGGTGCTGAGTTTCTGGGGACATGTTTGTAGCCCAGGCCCCTTGGATCGGAATCTAGATTGTCCTTCAATTCCTCCCAGCAACTGAATTTGCTCCCTATGTTAGTCTGGCAGAGACATTCTCACCACCTCGTAGGTGTCCGAAGTCTGCCTACGAGTTCCCTGGCCCTGCTAGCATGTCATCTGGCTCTCAAGGTAGCTTTGAAGCAATTCCGCAATTTTGGCAGTCCACCTGTCCACGGGTCACACTGGGATTGCCTGTAAGACATAAATTCAACACAGGCCGAGACAATCAGTCCCATAAAAAAAATTTAACTGACGTCTCTCTATTGAGCCATTCTAGGTGTGGCAGGCACCACCAGTGCTCCTCGTAGGATTGTTTCAGTGAATTCTTTGTTGACCCACCAAATAGGCACTTGCCGAGATGCTGTGACTTGTCTCTGATAATCCTCCAGGACTCTCCACTCTATGCTCTTTGGCAAAATTGACTTAAATTCAATGGTTATGTCTTGAATCGTTTCCCTCATCCTGGGGTAGTTGGCGTGTTGGCCTCATATATTACTACAAGTCCGGCTCTGGCAGCAGCGTCCAGGGTGTACTTTCCCCAGAAGTTGGTGGTGGCCAATCGTCTGCCACAATGATATGCCCTGTGATATTGGGCATGCTCTCTTCCAGGCGGTCTGCCTTCTCGCAAAAGTCATGGATGGCCTTGGTGGAGTAAGGTAGACACTTAAGTACGTGGCCTCCCTGCACAGAATCAAAACCAGTCCGCCGTTCTTAGCGGATCTTGCTCTTGCACTTAAACTGTATTAAGTGCACAGAATTCAACAGTACCAAGTCTAAGATTATTAGGGAACAAAGAAGATAAGTCTCTATGCTGGTATTAGAACTGTGTGCCGACACCATGTTCAAACTGACTGAGAAGTGAGTCAGCCGTCCTGAATTGCTCAAGGTTGCACTGAAGGATTCTTATCTTTTTGGGTGGGCTTTTTCTTGCTGAATTCCAGCTTTAGCATTCAGCACTCCACTGCCCAGACCCTGCCACATGCTTTGTGTTCTTATCAGTGAGCCCCACTCTTACCTACCAGGAACTCGACTTGGTACTCCTTATGGGTGTGACCTTATCCCCCCCCCCTTCACACACACACACACACTGAAAGCAGTTCTTGGCTTGGTTGGGCTTTCTTGCGGTTTCAGGAGGAGTGGCTAAAACTAAGCCACCTAAAAACACCTTGTTACTTCCACCCTCTGTCTGAGCGTGCTTGCGTGCAGTTGACTCAACCAAGCCTCAAATGCTGGAGTGCAAACATCTTGTCATAAATCTTTTGATGGAGGGGTGGAGGTGTCTTGGTAGCAGTTAAAAAATAAATTCTCTTGATTGATGTGGATACCAATATTCAATACATCTTTGTATTATTCCCGAACTATAAGCTACTTTTAAGCAGTGTGTATAATTATCAAAATCAATCCACACCACTGGACTTGCAAACTGTGACTGAAATGTACCTTGGCCTCAGCATCAGAGTGGGAAGCAGATTTTTTCAATCTAAGTCTTTCTGTCATCAATCTCTGCAATGAGGGATTCCACTTTATGTTCAGACGATGTTCCTCGGATTGATTTTAAACGATCCACTTCCTCTTCCAAGCTATCAAGACAAGGCAAGTTACTGGTTTTGTCATTGAGTTTCCCGATGTCAGTTTTGATTTCGGTAATCCCACTTGCAAGACTCCTTAGCTCATCCTTAAAGGCTAGATGTCAACTTTGCTAGTAAGTCATCCATTTTACTCAAACAGATATTGGCCAGATCTAAAGCAGGGTCAAAACAGCCGAATCTATGACAGAACCATTTTTTTTGTTACCATACATGATTCCACACAATTTTATAGAAAACTGATGGTTTTAGTTGATGGATGTATATATTTTTATTTTTAATTTGGTATAGGTCTAGTCATGGATATTATAACAGAAACAACAGGGATCATAATCATAAACCAATGATAACACTTTTAACATATATATCATATCACGTTTATTAGCACATAAACGTACAGAGGTTATATATAAATGCACAGGTGCTTCGTCATTCTTCTTATAGCCTAATATTATATAATGTCCTTTCTTAAAATGTATTTAGTAATAATGAATAAAATAGTTGTTTAACATTTGAGGAACTCTTTGTATAGACTAGCCAAAAGGTTTAATAAAGAAGATAATGTCAAGCTTAAAACTAAATAATAGGATTTATGGAATTTAATTATGAATAAAACATAAAATTGTATAAAACATTTAAATGTAGTCAATAACAAAGTCTTCATTAAAATTTGACAACGAAAAACGATATATATATAATATGTAACATTTAAAAATCAAGAAGATTAACATAGAGAAGGAACTTTTTACCCTATAAAATATTATGGAAGTAACAGGACCTGCTTATAACATTTGAGAGTCATCTAGAAAATCTTCAACTTTATAATATGTCTTTCTGATCAGAATACACTTAACGTTATCTGCAAATTGTGCTGGACTCATTGCTGTGCTTTTTAAGTGATTTGGAAGTTTATTAAACAATTTAATTCCCATGTAACTCTTTTCTAAAGATGAGAGTTGAATGATGAGGGTATATAAGTAAATTCTGGTTTCTAGTATTGTAATTTTGGCTATTTTTTTATAGAGTACCAATTTAAATTATTTTTTTTCATGACACAGAACCTCAAAAATGTAGATACATGGTACTGTAAGTATTTTTAATCTTTTAAATACTTCTTTACGTGAGCTTCCAGGCTGTTTGAGGGTCATGGCTCTTAGACATTTCTTTAGCACTTTCAATACATTTTTTATTAAATTTGATGTGCCCCATAATGTTATTCCACATTTCACTAACGGGTAAAAATAGCCATAGTACAATATAAGTTTTGTTTCCATGCTGGTACAGTGTGCAAGACAACTCATATTAATGTTAAAACAAATGTTATTTAATCTCTTACATAACGGTATAATATGTTCATGCCACTTCGGATTTTCGTCACATATTACCCCTAATAATTTCACAGACTTCTGATTCTTCAAATCATCATTGTCAACTGTAACCTTTATTTCGCCCTCTCTATATTGTATACTTCTGAAGTGAATTATATTTGTCTTGTCTGCATTCAGCAACAGTCCATTTATTTTAAACCAATTTTCTAATTCTTTTATCTCTGCTGTAAATTTAATTTTTTACGTGCTATTATCCCTAATTAATGCTGTAGTATCATCTGCAAACATTACTAGGTATATCTATCATGACATCATGATGTATGTGAATGTATAACAATTCACAGCATCCATATTAGTGTTAAGTTGGATTTCCATGGTGAAATTTGGAAGGGATTTTATATATGAGCTACGAGGTTTTCAATTAAAATATTTTAATGAAGGTTTCATAGTATCAATACCAAAACCGTCCTGTCACTGATTCATTTACCTTTTAATGAGTATATTTCATAGTTATCTTACGATGTTGTAATGTTGTATTGTATGAATTTTTTTGCATAATTTTTTGGGTAAGTTCTTTGTTGGGAAGATCTGTTTGGTAATAATTAAGAGATGTTTAATGTAAACTAAGATGGTGGTGGTACAGAAGTTTCCTATGTAATGAAGAATGTTTTATGCCATAAAATACTTATGACTTACGACGGTTAGGTACTTAAGAGTGGTTTTGTAATAACCAAAAGCTTAGGTTTTAGCTTTAGCTAAGCATTTATTATGTTCTGACATACAAGAGGCTGCAATTTTAAGCTTTGAGGCATTAAATTAATAAAAATTAAATAGTGATTAAATTAACCAGGAGGCTAAAAAATGTACTTAAATTTAGTTAAAAGCGTCATATTATCATGAGTTCTGAAGTACAGTAAAGTAATAATACTCACTACAAATTGTAAAATATTCACCCTATTTTTTGACGCTAGGCACGAGCCTTGAATTGTTTTTCACATTACTTCAGGCTAGACACTTAGATACAGACTAGACACTGAGGGTTGTGGCTGTATCACTTAGATAAAATCCATTGGTGATTTGGCACGATTTGAACCCAGGACCTCATGAACCAAAGTCCCGCGCTCTAACCACTAGACCAGCTCGCTCCCCATTCATTCACCCTTATTAAACCTACTACGTTCAAACCTACGCCATGGAATCACATTAATGTTTTAGGCCAAGTCAATCCATATTTTACACCAAAAATAAAAACTCATTTAGGTGATTTACATCTAGAACATTATTATTTATACAAAGAGTCTCAAAATATAAGTAAATTCACCCCCCATCTTTTTCACTCTCTCTTTCCGCCTGTTACTAACTTCTCCTTTATTGGAGTATCACCCCTTACACTAAAGGTTGCTAAATGTTAATTTATTTAACTTCTTTGTCAATATTAATTTATTATTGGTTTTGTTCAATACTTAAAAGCTTCAATCATACCAGTTTTGATTGTTGAGGTTCACAGTGTTAAATAAATACCATTTGCAATATCCAACAAAAAGTTCTCAAAAGAATATGGACAGTCATTCGGCTCATGTAAGAATTTATAGGGTCACTTTAGATAACCTGGCTTAAACAGGCTAGCTACTAAGTTTCTGAGACAAAGAGTTACAATTTATTACTGTGTAGGTCCAATTTAAACAGTAGACCTATTGTACCAAATGCTTACTTATTTTACTTAGACACTAGGATTAGCCCCACTGAAATAGATCTGTGATACGTCTGGATGTTTGGTCGTCAGTTTCTCCCCCTCATTGGAGTGTTAGGCTTTTTTGGTTAGCTCTTCAATGCAGTATACATGCTTCATAGGTGTTCTTTCATTGTCATTTTAAATATGTGCTTCTTGTGTCATTTTTCTTTTTAAAAAATTGTATATTTTGACACTGGAGTAGTAAGGGATCTTGCTGGCTGGAGTAGAGTTTATTTGTGTTTCATGCAGCTGGTGTGCACTTCTTGTGTTATATTGATGAACTCTATTGTTTGAGAATATATCTGGGGGTTTTTGTGCAAGCAGACGAGGTTGCTAGATGAAGAGGGAAGGAAGGGTTAATATTTTCAGTTCTCTGAAAATTGGCCTGCAGTGTGCTCAAAGGACTCTGCTCATTCTTACGACTATTATTTAGGAAAACCTTCGTAATACCACTTCAGAATACTACTCCATATGAAATTATGCTGTATAAATAGCCAAAATATACTTTTAGGAGGACTTCGTATAGATTCTGTAGCCTATTCATCAAATGAATAATTTTTGTTCTTGAGTTGATGCATATCATGTTGTCAATGTTATAATTTTTAAATATTATGTTAATTTTCCAGTCACAGTCTCCCTGAGAGCCCTCCAGACTCTGGATCCGAGCCCCCCTACTCCCCCCAGGCTCACTCCCCTCGTAAGTATCAAACAGTAGGCCCAGCTATATATATGTTTTTACAAAAATTAATTAATATGTTTTCAAAACCACACATTATACAAGTTAACTATATCATATCTTGATGATAGGCTTCCATGGTCAACATTGACCCTCCAATCTTTAATTATGACTGTCTTACAAAAACCACGTCGCTGAATTGGCAAAAATAATCGCCCACGTTTTGGATACGTTGCAGCTGTTTGCCCCAGAAGATGAAAGGCTGCAACGCATCCGAAACATCGGGCATTATTTTTAACAGTTCAACGATACGGTCATGTACTTAAGACCAAGTATCCAACAAGCTAATTACAGTACTATACCAACCAATAAGGATGTACAGTAATAATATACAATATTTTTAAACGCGTGGAATCACCTTTTAATTTTTCAAACCTTTGCAGATAGACTGTGTTCTAATTAACTTTTTTTTTCAAGTAACTTTTTTAACAATAACCATTACGAGCATACATTTGGGAGATAGACCGTGGAGGGATTTAAGAAATCTTTAATGAGATCAGCTATAGTATAGAAAAGTTAAATGCCAAAGGCCGCATCTAAAAGGGTTGATCTAATCAGAAATTATTACAGCTTGTAACAGTAAATAATTATAGCAAATATCATATTCTCATGTTTTAATAGTAATATTAATTTTGTTAGAGCTTTGAATCAACCCTCCTTGATGCCTTAGGTGTGACTCATGGCAATGTCTGGTGTTTACTCTAATTTGTACCCGTGAGAACCAATTATGTTTCTTTGCATGAGTTTTCATTTTAAAAAAACTCATTTATCTTATAAACATGGTCCATGCACAGGCTTCTGTTACCTATGTTTACAGGCAAATTCAAGGTAAAATAGGCTACCTGTAAAAAAAATAGATAGGCAAAATAGAAAGTTCCCAAATTATTCTCACAGATTATAAATTATAAATTCAGTTCTCACGAATTATTTGTAATGTTTATTAAAAAAAAAAAACATATTTATTGAATGTGCAAGAAATACAAATTACTTTTATTCATTGTACCCTTTTTTTTCTTTCCAGGCCACTTGACCTACCCATCCGGGAAGGGTAAAGTTTAAATTCGCAAAATTCCTTAAATAAATTATTTGAATATAATCATATGTTTCAGATCAAAAGAATGGTCCCACCTCAGGACTGACCGATTTGCTGATGCAGTCTCCAGTCTATGGCAAGCCTCCACACACAATACATATCCAGGCTGCTGATACCATCCTTGTACAACACCCGTCGGTGCTGACTCCCCTGCTGACCCATCAGCAGCAGTCTACCCCTCCAGGTACTCATCCACCTCCCAGTGCTAATACCATCCAGTTACCGTAAATATTGGAATCTAAAATATTAGTTTACGGAACTATTGCGTAAAGATAGTGTTAACGACTATTTAACACTATTTACGTGAGTAGACACTACTTTACCTAGACAGTGTTTTAATTACTAAAAATCACTACTCGTAACTTCTAAGAGAGGTTATGTTTTCGTTTATAACCTCTCATTGCCACTGACAGTGATGCAACGAAACATTGTACCAAACACTAATTGCACCACTCAACAATTAAATTGGCCTGAACAGCTGATTAGTTGAAGTTTAAACCATTACAATTTTACTTCTTCTCTCCCAATCCTTGAACCTCATTGGTCCGTTACCCGTGTTGTTATGAGTAAATCTATGTTGTTATGAAAGTAAACAATGCTGTTATGTGAAACTTTTCAATTCTAAGAACTGAACTGAAACTTTTTAGTATATTACAAACGCAACTAGTTTTCTGCTCCTATGCGGAGCCATCATTAGGTGGTACAAGGATTTTTTTCTTCATATGAAGAGCATCATATTTAACCTGTACAAATAAATACAGTAAACATTTAAAGACAAAACAAACACGGATACGAATCATTTACGTTAACTGATCAGTTATAATAACAAATTATGCTAACACTGCAGAGTTTGAGTCCAGACTGTTTCGTATTTGTGTTTGTGTCGTTTTTAATTTTTAATGTTTATTTATTTTTCACTCATCGTATGAAGAAAGAAATCGTCCTTGTACCCCCTGATAGTGGCTCCAAAAAAACTAGTTGTGTTTGCAATATGAATGGATTGACTTATAGTAGGTATTTAAACTTTTTTAAATATTAATTGTCAATCCTAAGGCTAACATCTACATTGAAATGTTTAAAGAAATATTAACTGATAAAAATGCTATATTGAAGCCATTTTTGTTTGAAATTTTTTTATAACCAATTATATATCCCATTTCAGGATATCGATATAACATGAGGAATATCAAAACAAGAATCTCGATATTCATTCACCGATATGAGTAATATCAGAACATTCCTTAATACAACAAATTAAAATAATATGTCATACTTGGGGCTGATAGGTTGATACTCATCCTTAACCCTAACTGCTGTCCTAGAGGATACACTTCAGCATGTGACTAGCACAAAGGTCTGCACCTGATGAATCAAATAAGTACTTTTTTACACTTGTCTGTTGTATATTATTTTATGTTCTTGTCAAACTTTAAATAGCTCTGTGATTGATTTCAGTGATTCAAAACAACAACACACTAGCCTTAGCTGCAGCTCATGCTGGTCTGAGCACTACTACTCTAACTGAGGACCAATCAGACAGTGGCATTACAACCATCTACACGTCTCTTCATCACGGAACGAAGAAACGGAAACTCTCTGAGGATAATGTGCGAGTTAAACAGGAAACAGGTACAAAATTTACTTTCTATTTTGCCTTTTTATTTTATTTTTTTATTTTATTCTTTTTTATAAACAAAGGTTGGCAGCCTATTTTACCTTAAATTTGCCCATACACATGGGCCACAGAGGCCTGTGAGTGTACCGTATTTATAAGGTAAATGAGTTTTTGAATATAACTCGGTGTCATTAAGATGTTTGTAAATGTATCTTTTCTGAAGTTTTGTTGCCAAGTTACAATTAGGTGATTTAGGTATTAGGTGAGACTCAAATCAAAGATTTTGATAAATATATTTTAAGGCTTAATTTGTAAAGCCCTAGTAAAAAAAGTCTATTCAGTTTATTTAAAGAAAAATAGTAGTTTACGCAACGATTGCGTTAAGTGAGTCTTTACGACACGAGTAGAAAATTTAAGGCACGAGCCTTGGCGAGTGCCTTAAAAACTTCTACGAGTGTCGTAAAGACTATTAACGCGAGTAGCGTACACTACTTTACCTACGACCGTTTTTTAATTACTATCAATCTGGATTTAATTACTAACAATCACTAATGATAACTTTTTAGAGAGGTTATGTTTTCGTGTATTGTCATTGCCACTGAAAGTGATGCAACGACTTGTTGTATAATCATCTGATTTCCTGTAATTACGTGTTTGTTAAACTTCGTTAAATATTACATTGCTAGCAGCATTCTTACCATAAATAATTCTGTATCAGGTACAATTCGGCAAATATTAAACTTATTTTTGGACTTCCACCAACTTAATTAAGAATACGCGAGTATCAACATGAACAAGTCGGATCAACAATTAGATTGGTCAACTGATCAGCTGATCAGCTGATTAGTTGATGTTCGAAGCATTACAGTTTTAATTCTTTTCTCTCAATACTTGAACCTCATTGGTCCGTTACATGTGTGGATATGAGAAAACTATGCGGATATGAAATGAAACTATGCGGATATGAAAGTAAACAGCTGTAAAGTGAAACTTTTCAATTCTAAGAACTGGACTGAAATGGCTACTTTAAAAAACGGTCGTAGGTAAAAGTATTTTCCCCCCTCCTTTTGTTTAACTCGTGTTAAACATAAGGACTTGTTAAACATGAGACGTTTTATGTATGTCTCAATTTGGTGGGACTTGGTGTGTCAAAAACAAAAACCATAGAAAATATAATACAGTAGAGTCCCGCAAACTCGGCGTAATGTGGACTGGAAGGGTGTCGGGTTTGTGAAATGCCGGGTTATCGGGAACTAGGGTTAAAAATAAGAGGAATACAATTTTTAAGCTTTTTTAACCGCCTTTTTCATTTATATTTATATTACAAGTCATTATTAAGTCATCAGATACAGTACAACAAATCCTTGGTATGAGTTGCGAATAATTTGGCTTGATCTGGATTGAGTCCACATTTAACTCGGACTCAAAAAATCACTAATTTTCTGAGCCAGACGATGGCCAAGTTATCCAGACTGCCGGGTGTATCGAGTGCCGAGTTTGCGGGATTCTACTGTAATGATCTTTTAACCAGGTACATATCTCATATAGTTTCGTTCCAAAGATAATATCGTTTAAATGGATTTCTTGGTAGAAATCCATTTAATTGATTTTGAATTTTGAATTGAATTTGGGTTGATCACAACTGTGGTCAGTTGTAAATCTTGTCAATATCTTTTTAGAGCTGTGTGGAGACGAGGAGTTGAGTTTCCAAGAAGGGTCGGGTGAGGGCAGTCTATATCTTGACTCCTCTAGCTTCCAGTGTATTAGGTTTACTCCATTCCAGCAGCCCAGCTGGCACACTCTCTGTGATCAGAATATCAAGGAGTTGTAAGTGTATAAGATTAAAATTATTATAACACTTTGTTGGGCCTTAAATCTAACATTTTATGACAATGTTGTTTGTCAAAATCACAATAGATATAATAGATAAAATGTTACAAGATCTTAATTTGACTTGTGATCTTATTTCAAACCAAACAAATGACTTTTTTGACAATTCAAAAAATAACTAATGATAACAAACAAGCCAACAAGTAAAAGCTGGAAACAATCTTTTTCCAGCTGATAGTTTAGCTAAATGCTTTCTCATAAACAGGCTTCCAAGTGTCCTTATTGTACAAATGTAATACTTATTGGGAATTCATGGTTTTCTTTAAGTCTTGCAGGACGAGGCCATAGAAATTTAATTTTGTTTATGAGTACATCATGTTAATATGAATTTGAGGTTTCATGTACTTTGGAGATAAATAAAGCATGTTTAGCCTATTTTGCATTAATACCAAAATCAATGAGTTTTTATTTATTCTAATCTTTCTGCTTAGCCTAGGTTCGACTGTAGATCCCTCCTGTAATGTTCTCACGTAATAACGTTGATTTGTGTTACTCATAAATCTTAAGTGAGAAAATGTTTCTACCAACACCCCTAACTAAGATTGACTTGAAGAGTTGAAGATAAACCTTTGTACAGCTTATGGATTTATCTTTTGCAGACCACCTCCTCACTACAGAGTAGATGCTGACAAAGGATTCAACTTTTCTAATGCTGATGATGCATTTGTATGCCAGAAGAAGAACCACTTCCAGGTACAGTCCTTGATTCAGAAACTAAACCTCTCAAGAAAAAAAAGTGGAGTGATTGATACTTTTATAACTCTGCAAATGAAGCATAAATGGAAAACTTCATATTCTAAATTGTATATTGTCTTTTAAGGTAAAGTATTTAAGTATCCAACAAAAAATTGGTGATTAATTGTTTATTGTTTGGTTTTGTCTGTTTTGGGCTATCAAAGGTTATGATAATAGTAATCAATTTTAAAGTCACTTCATTTCGTACCTAGAAGCATTGGTGCACCCAATTCGGACATTGCATGATGTCGGTTAGCATCTAAGAGTGTGTTAATGACTTTTGATATCCCTTTGTGTATTCTCAGATCACCTGCCATACTCAGCTGCAAGGAGACGCTCAGTTCGTCAAGACTACAGATGGTTTACGGAAGATCTCAAGTTTTCACCTCCACTTCTATGGAGTCAAAGTGGAGTCTCCATCCCAAACTATCAAAGTTGAGCAGAGCCAAAGTGATCGCTCTAAAAAAGCTTTCCATCCTGTCTTGTAAGTTGAGTCACTTAACTTTGGGAGGGTTAAAAAGATAATAACAAATAGGCTTTGGTTAAAAAGGCTAAAGAAGGCAATTTATTATTATTTATTTATTACTTGGTACAGCACATATTTACAATGTATATACAATACAAAAACGGCATAAGCCTTATAAAAAGGCTTGTCCGCAGCGTTTCTTATAATACTACTTGTCTTTTCCAACATTTTCTTGATCTTGAGTCAGTATGGACTTTTAACTGTACACAAATATATTTCCTACTTCTTAAACAGTAGCAAATTTTGAATATAACTATTTAACATGATTATTAAATATCTTTAAGATTGAAAACTGTAAAAAAATTAATTAAATAAAAAAAAGAACAAGTGTAAATAAATACACAAGGAATTTTCTTAAAATTATAGAAATATTGTAGGATATTATAGGATATAAATTATAGGAATTGATAGTAGAAGATATTAGGGAGGATCAGCTGCTGTAATTTTTTGAGTTGTTGAAACACCTATTATAAAAAGTACTGTATTCAGTTTTAGTTGTAATGTTTATAAAATTATTTTATCACTGTGATTATGTTTTATCGAGAGTATCGAAACTTGAAACTGCTCAAATTTATCACGTTGCGAGTCCCGATTCCAGCTGCCTTTTTGTCAAAAAAATAGAATGTTGAAAGACAAACTGCAATACAACTTATACAACTTCATACTGAGTTATCCCTGATCAGGGAAAGGGAAGGGAGATCAAGGGGGAAGGGGGGGGGGTTAATATCAGGGAAAGGAGTTTCTTTTATTTTGTTATTTTATCGTAATCAATTCTTGATTACAATATTTAACTATCTTAAAAAATCCAAATTCACAAATTTTTTAAAAGAGAACCAATTTATTTTCACTTTTATATACTGCAGTGTTGTAAGAAGTAGTAGTTCCAGGGTTGATTTACACGGGGAACAAGTGACTAAGGTGACCGTGGGAAGGCTGCACTTTAGCGAGACAACATCAAACAACATGAGGAAGAAGGGCAAACCTAACCCAGACCAGCGATATTTCTACCTCGTTGTGGGGCTTCACGCTCATTGCAGCGACAACACCCACTACCCCATTGTCTCTCATGCGTCTGAACGCATCATAGTGCGGGTAAGTAGAATATTGTATGGTACTTTATAGCTATACGCATATGTTTGTGCGCATCTGTCATTCCAAAGTAATGGGTTGTGTAGTGTTTGTTTTGCACTTTAAATTAGCGTATGAACACATTACTCTATATGGATTCGGGTGTAAAAAATAAACCAGAATCAGTGACTAACTACTTCCAGTTTGTATCATGAAAAGGAATTAAATTTCAAAATGTAACATGTAATATGTACACACAACAGGCGGAGGTGTAGACACAGCATCCAATTACAATGATCACAATTTTTGTCCATCAAAGTAGAGAAATATGTTTATATGATCTTTCACGCATATTATTATTTTTTTCATGCAAATTACCATGATAAACTTAATATGTAATGCATTTTTGAAAGTTTACATCAGTTTTCCTCCTTTTCTTATAGGCCTACTATTAACAAAGCGTCTTTAACAAGTCGAGTATAGAAAGAAGCTGAAGTTACTTAGGCCTTCTTGTTTCAGGCGTCAAACCCAGGCCAGTTTGAGTCGGACGTGGAGCTGTGTTGGCAGCGAGGGGCAGCTGCAGACTCCATCTATCACGCAGGCAGAGTGGGTGTTAACACGGACCGGCCTGATGAGGCATTGGTGGTTCACGGCAACATGAAGGTGACTGGACACATAGTCCAACCTAGCGACTTGCGAGCCAAGCGAGATATTCAAGAGGTGAGGGAATGAAGATGAGTGATATATTCCATCATTCTGTTTTGCAGTTTGTTCACAATTCACTAAAACAAAATTTATTTGTGCTGTTTACCTTGATAAATTAACTCCCAAAAATGTTATCATCCAGTTTGTCTATGTAATAAACAGCTTTTAACATTATTTAGATGTTTTAATTATTATTTTGCTAGCTCAATAATGTATTCAAATGCAAATTACTAAAATATTTTTACATTTTAGTCTGTTTAAAAATAGTTATTTGTAATGGAATATTTAATGTTACAAAATGGTTAACTCTATAAAAAATCTATAATGATACTATTCTTTTTTTTAACTTGACAATTGTCTTTTATCAGAATCAGTAAACAAAAGTAGGAAAATGCTCAACTGATATCCGCGACTTCTGATGCATCTTTTTTGCTCTAGGGATGAAATAAAGTACTTTAATTCTGCATGGCATGTGTGGAAAATAGCCGTTTTCACTGCAGTGTAAGGAAAACAATTTTTAGCGATATTTAGGATCATGGAATCTGATTTTGTGCAGTTATAATAAAAAATCAAATTATTCCACGTTTATATCTGGATACAAATATTATAATAACTGATTCTAAAAAAATCTAGTTTTAATTACCTGGATGTATTACTGTGTCTAACAGTGAGTGACTACATAAAAGGGCTTTGGAAAAAGTCAATGGAAATATTCTCAATTGAATTTTCAATAAATGTCTACTTGTTTGGCAGTGTGACTCGGCTCAGCAGCTGATCAATGTGAGACAACTACGAGTGGTCAAGTACAAGTATGACCCGGAGTTCAGCAACCACTGCGGTCTGGACACTCAGTCAGACACAGGCATCATCGCACAGGAGCTGCGTAACATTCTGCCTGAAGCAGTGATGCCTGCGGGAGACGTTGTGTTGCCTAGCGGTACCAGGATTGACAACTTTCTTGTAGTCAACAAGGTGATTCAATATTACTGTTTAGTTAATATAAGATATTTTATAAGTAAATGCCTCTTTTATCTTTGCATCCCCCATCCACTTGGAACTTATCGGGTAAAGTAAGAAATGAGCTAGTTCAGTACGAGAAACTTATAAATTGGTAGTGGCAACACTGTTATTCAATGCCACAACATTTCTACCTTGGTTCAAAAGTATGTAGTACTACCAACTGAGCCTCTGACTACACAAACTCTTATATCTTCTTTTGCTAATTGCTCATTGTTCCATGATATAGTAACCTTGATTCTTGTTCCTTTATTTAACGATATTTGCTTTTGGATGATAGGCACATCCTAGCACTGAAGGTTGGAACAACGTGTAGAACAATTCTTCTTTTCCTGAAAATGTGAAAATATGACTTCTTTTCCTGTTTTTCATTGCACTGTCACCTGTAAGTCTATCACAAATCTAGAGTTGATAGAATGAATCCATCCAACATCCTTAAAAGTTGGCTTTTAAAATACAGCCCCATCTCTTTATAATCTGTCTCTTACTCTACCCTCGTGTGATAATGTGCAGGAGAGGATCTTGATGGAGAGCGTTGGAGCTGTCAAGGAATTGTGTAAAGTCACGGACAACCTGGAATCGAGGATTGGAGAACTTGAGAGGATCAACAAACGACTCGTCAAGCTCAAGAGACTTGATAGCTTGAAATCCAACACTTCTGGATATTCTTCAGGTATTTATTTATCGTCTATCTATATTAGAAAAGAAACTGGGGTGATTTTGAAGTGAATATTTTTTTAACTTTTTAATTTTCCTTTCCTAAATAGTAACAATTTCCTTTCCTAAACAGTAACAAAGCTTGAACCAACAAACATAAAAACTATTTAACTTGAGGATGGACGTATAAAATTGAAACACCAAATAGTTGAGCTAAGAATAAAAGTATTATGGAGTTCAAATTTGATTTACATAAGCCTACTAATTTTTGTCTTAAAATGGTCCTCTGTAGAATAAACAGGAAATTGGCTCAAAAAATATTTTAGAGTCTGTTTAAATTTATTTATATTGTCTGCACTCTTTAAGCCTTAAGCTTTTGTGATTCTCAAATTACTGTATCGAATCATAGTTTTCTGTTTACAGTAACGGCCAGGACTAAACTGAAGAGTAAACACTGGGAGGAAGAGGAAGATCACATTATCTGCTCTAATCAGCTGATCCAAGTCACTATCGTTATCTTGATCCTCATCATGGCTATGTGGTATGACGAAGTTTGGTATCATGATAGTTTAAACTTGTAGATTTATCATCGGTATGGAATATGGATACAATGCCAAAATGTCTTAATTTCTCATTTATAACTAGATAGAACAATAAACTTCTGCTTGTCCAGCAATCATTTGTCATTAACAAGCAATACCAGGTGGTTGAATTTGACTCAACGACCCACAAGAAGCAGTGCTATCTTGGATTATAGAGCTAGTTTTAGCTTTATAACGACAAGTACTAATGTTTCTCTAGTCGATGATTTTTCAGTTTATTTTTTAACTATGCTCTAAAGAATCGCTGTTACGCAAGTACAGATGCTCATAAGCAATAAAAATATGGAGTACCATAAGTAATGGTGTGTCTATACCAACATTTATCAATTCTCGATACCAATACCGATATTTGGAAAATCGATTCTTGGTACCGATACCACTTTTTTTTACTTTATCGAGTTTTCTGTATGGATTGGTTACACTACAGCACAATCCAACCCCTGTCTTTATGTCCTTACCTTAAAGTAATTTTTGGGAAATGGGGTGTTTTTTAAGTTTATATCAAGATTAATACAGCAATTAAATATTCCAATTAGCCAATTCAAATTGAATGTGAAATTGAATGTGAGTGTGAAATTGAAATGTGTCCCTTCTAAACACATTAAAAAACTAACATATCAAAGCTAAATGATAATCTAACAAACAAGGATCATAAAGAATTTTTCATTACAACTAGAGGTGTGCCAGCTTGAGATTTTCAATCAACCTGAGCTCGAGGTAATATGCATGATCATCTCCGACAGTCATGGAACATCTTCATCATCTTCCACAATCACTGCAAAATCGTAAATATCTTCCTTAGTCACGGAAACATCTAGGGGTGTGCGATGCATCGAAAATGCATCGAAATTTCGATTCGATTCGAATCGATGCGCAGCATGCATCGAAATCACGATGCATCGATTTGGCCTCGATGCATCGAAAAAGACCGATGCATCGGTTAGCTCCCGATGCAACGATTACGTCCCGATGCATATTTAAAACTAATTCAGGACTCCAAAATGAGTTTTAGATAGGGAAGTGTCAATTATCGCTACCACCGATACTCGGACATTGCCGATACTAGGAATATCGGTATCAAGAATCGATTGCCAAACATCGATTTCGCCCGATTCCGCCGATACCGACAGCCGACAGGGATGGATAGATATTTTATTTTAACATTTATTTATTTGATATCTATTAGTTTTGTAATCACGCTAACAACTTTAGTAACCAACTTAGCACACTATTTAGTTCAAAACAGCTAAAGTTTATTTTCAGCTGTTCTCTCTGCAGGCAGATGATATTGCACAACACAATACAATCTACATTTCAAGATGTCAGACAGTCAGAATTCAGTCTCAGACAACCGGCGCGCGAGTGTCCTCAACACGAAATTATACTAAAAAATGTCTGTATCAATAAGTCAGATCTTTAAATGTATTATTTTTATTTTTAGAACAAAATAAATAACCTAAACTTGTCTAAATGTTCAGTTTCATCCCTGCATTACGCATCATTAGAAAAATTCGATTCAATTACAACATCGAAGTCAGAGGGTTAGGCTTGCACTTGCCTATTGCACCAAAAAGTAGATCCATATTATATCTGTACTATCTACCTAGTTTAAGAGTTTAAGTGAAGTTTTAAGTGCTACTATAACATAAGTTTTGATTGAAAAACACCATACGCATAGTCCATGTCGATTTTGTAATATTATAATGAATGGTAAATGTTGACCATCTAAGATAAATCAAAGTATGTAACAAGAGTTCTCATTGGTCGAGAGGCCACGCTGCACTGTCATGTCAGCCAATCGACGTTCGTGTTTCAATGGAGCAAGTGACGATTGCTAAGATACATTGATAAATATCAAGAACCGTTATGTAGGACGTGTTTGTTTGTAAAGAGTATAAAATTAGGTTAAAGTTTAAAACGGTGTGATTTTCTTTTGTCTTACAAAGACCTAGATTTGACAATAAGGTTATAAACGAGTATTGTCGCGTCGTTGTTCCTTGTTTGTTTACTTTTTCAGATTCCCTATCAAACGCCCCTATCTGCTATCTCTCTCTCCCCCCCTCTCTCTCTAACGATGTACTGATTAAACAGATTGTGGTTGACAACTTTTCTACTTAAGATTCCCTGTGGTTATTTTAGTTCAATCAATCCCATAACCTTTCTATCGTTTATCAAAATAATTAATTAATCTGTTTTGTATTTTATTTCCTTTAAACCAACCCCTATTTACCATCTGTATTTTATAGAATAAAATGTTTGTTTATAAATTTTGACTGGCCACACAATTTTGTACCTATTTTATTTTGTATAAAGTAACAGATACTTTGATGATTATATATACAGTATATATATATATATATATACAGGGTGACAAAAAAGTCTGGAAACGGCTTGATATCTTTTTTACTAAATTCGTTAGAAAATTCAAACCTTTTTACATCAACTTATATGAATGAAAACTACTTTTTGCAAGCATTACCATTTGTTTAACTTCATCAGGGGACGGCCCATGAGGAGTAGGTACATAATCTTTAATGTAAGCATAGGTTGATATGCACATCATTTTAAAGGTCTGGTTAAGTGGAGTTCATTGCCGGAAACCGCGTCAAAAAAGGTTCATCCGTTACGAAATGGCGGCAGTCCAAAGTTCTTGCGGAATATACCTGCACAGGTAAAATACTCATAGTTAACATAAGCCGGGAAATCTGAAAATCGGTTAAATTTGTTTTGAAGATTGAATAAACTTAGTCTGTGAGCTATTTGACTTTAAAATACAGTTTCATCTCTCAAGGTAATGTTTAATACGAGTATTTACCAATACTAAGGCCTTTGAAGGTATTTCCCGCAAGAACTTTGGACTGCCGCCATTTTGTAACGGATGAACCTTTTTTTACGCGGTTTCCAGCAATGAACTCCACTTGGCCAGACCTTTAAAATGATGTGCATATCAACCTATGCTTACTTTAAAGATTAGGTACCTACTCCTCATGGGCCGTCCCCTGGTGAAGGAAAAAAAATGGTAATGTTTGCAAAAAGTAGTTTACATTCATATAAGTTGATGTAAAAAGGTTTGAATTTTCTAACGAATTTAGTTTAAAAGATATCAAGCCGTTTCCAGACTTTTTTGTCACCCTGTATATATATCAATAAGTGCTGCGTGCTGTAATGAATGCTTTTTATTATCAAAATAAGTAATCAATTATAAATTTTTGATAATACATGGGTCATTGAATAGGTACCATAATGTCATGTAGTTTCCTATTTGTAACTTGCAAATAATAATAATTGATAGTTAATTCTGGAAAATGAAAAATAGTGAACGCATTCATAAACCTGTTGTCAAAACAGCAACGCAGGTGTAAGGGTTTATTGTTTCAGAGGCTAGGGTGTTTCAAGGACAAAGTGTTGGGCCTCCCGGCTTAGGGGGGAGGGGTGGTGGTTAGAGGGGGAGGAAACTGGTTTTGGCTATTTATTGATTAGTTCACCGACCCTTCTAGACAACAAAATTGAGTGACAGTTGTCATTAGATTAATTACTAAATAATTGTACTGAACTCAAGAAAGGTTGTTTATTTCTAATTTAACAAAAACTCAATCAAAATATAAAAACAATAACACAAAACATATGTAGAACAATTACCATATGTTATAAACATATTAACTACTACTGTCATCCCTCCTTCACAAGTCAAATTTATTTGGTGTTCTTCTAATCCTTTCCCCTCGTCTTACAACAGGAGCTGAGTTATTGTTATGTTCTTCTGACCTGGACGATTGACCTTTATTCACATCATGGGAGATTCTGAATGACTTGTCTCTTCTTAGGAACCATGAGTTTCTTCGGTATTCTCGTCCATCACCAATCTGGATTTTGTACGATCGTGGTTCAGGACCAACTTGAACAATCTTTGCTCTCAGCCAACACTTTGGTTTGAATCTGAAAAGCACTGGTTCATCGAGTTTAAACTGATCAGGCTCTGACTTCCTCATATCACTGTATAGCTTCTCTCGCCTTTTAATTTTTTCTAGCTGTTTTGAAACATTCAAAAGGGACGATTCCTTTTCTCGGCCTACGTTACAAAATTCAGTCTTTGACTGTAAACGTTGTGGTTTACAACACTCTAGAGGCCAATGTCCAGCTTTTAATCGAACTTGCAATCAATGCTTGACTAAAGGTCATTTTGCTAAGATGTGTAAAACTCGAAAGAATCTCCCTAGTAAGAGTAAAAATACTGATGTTATAGAGGTTGTAGAGAATGAAGATTCTTCTGATTATCCGTTGCATGTTGATTGCATCTCTAACCCAGTCAAGAATCAAGATTGGACAGAATTATTAGAATTGCCAAATAACAAAACTGTGCAGTTTAAATTAGATACTGGGGCTCAGTGCAATGTTATTTCCCATGATTTGGCACTAGCTTGTAATCTGAACATTGTACCTTCTGCAACTAAATGCCTTGTTTCTTTTAACAACCAAAAAACGCCAGTTTTGGGTGAAGCCATTTGTCCAGTTGTAACCAAAAAGTTTCATAAAGACACTGTCTTGTTTGTAATAGTTCCAAATGGGCATCAATCAATATTAGGAAGAGTATCATGTGAAACCCTAGGGTTCGTAAAAAGGATTGCTGGTATAATTGATCAGTCTATAAGTGGATTATATGATGGAATAGGGTGTTTAAAGTCTTTTGAGTATGATATTGATCTTGTGGAAAATCCTAGTTTCAAAATACACCCACCCAGGCGAATACCCCATCCAATACGTGACGCAGTGAAAGCAGAACTAGACCAAATGGTAAAAGACAAGATTATTACTCCGGTAAGTGAGCCTACTCCTTGTGTGTCTCCTATGGTCATAGTCCAACAAAGAGACAAAATACGTCTATGCATTGACCCAACTGATCTTAACAAAATGTAAAGCGTAGACATTACCCATTGGCTACATTAGAGGACATCTCAGCTAGATTGAATGGTTCTACTTTATTCACCATCCTTGACTGTAAAAAAGGATTCTGGCAGATAAAAGTTACGAAGAGAACATCCAAACTATTAACTTTTTCAACACCTTGGGGGCGCTACTCTTGTTTACGCATGCCCTTTGGTTTGGTATCGGCCCCTGAAGTGTTCCAGTATATTATGTCAGACTTGCTCAAAGGAATTAAGAATGTAGAGTGTTCAATGGATGATATACTCATTCACAGTAACAATGAAAGAGACTTGCAAAAGATCACGAATGAAGTAATGACAAAGCTGAGTTATTGTTATGTTCTTCTGACCTGGACGATTGACCTTTATTCACATCATGGGAGATTCTGAATGACTTGTCTCTTCTTAGGAACCATGAGTTTCTTCGGTATTCTCGTCCATCACCAGTCTGGATTTTGTACGATCGTGGTTCAGGACCAACTTGAACAATCTTTGTGTAGGGCACATGAACAAGCTAGGAAACAACTAGCAGAAATATCCTCTGACAGCCCTACAAATGTTAATGTCGTTAAAAGGAATCGTCCCTTTTAACGACATTAACATTTGTAGGGCTGTCAGAGGATATTTCTGCTAGTTGTTTCTTAGCTTGTTCATGTGCCCTACACTTACTAATTGCATCATCTAGGGTAAGCTTATCAGTAGAAAGTAGCTTTTCCCTTAAGCTAGAATCTGATATGCCAATAACTATTCTATCCCTTATCAAACTGTTTTTTAGTTGCTCAAAATTACAAGAATTAGCTTGGTTAACCAATTTTGCAAAAAAATCTTCAAAACTTTGATGGGTTTCTTGTGTAATTTTGTTGAACAAAAATCTCTCAAATACTTCATTAGATTTACCAACAAAAAACTTATCAAATCGTTGAACAACTTCATCTAATTCAACATCTCCATCATCCATGAAACCAAAACTGTTATATATATCTATAACATCTGGGCCTAAACTAGACATAAATGATGCTACCTGTACTGCATTGGATTTCCTATCAAGGCCAGAAGCTGTGTAGTACCAGTTCCACTGTTGCTTCCATTTCTTCCAAGAAGGAGCCATCTGAGTACTTGAAACCACAAGACATTTTGGTGGTTTTACATTATTATCTTTGTCTTCTGTATGGTTTGTATGGATATCATCATCTTCCTTAAAGTCATACCTCTTATTTCTATTCCGTGTGGGTTTCGGCACCATGTCATTAGATTAATTACTAAATAATTGTACTGAACTCAAGAAAGGTTGTTTATTTCTAATTTAACAAAAACTCAATCAAAATATAAAAACAATAACACAAAACATATGTAGAACAATTACCATATGTTATAAACATATTAACTACTACTGTCAACAGTGACAGTGTTAAATCACCGTGTTCTGTATTTAATTTGTTGTTTACTTTGTTTGTTATTCTATTAATTTTAGTGTTTTGTTCTATTTCCTCCTAGTCCCTTGCAAATTGTATTATCAATGCTAAATAATTGTGGTCAATTCAAATTATATTTTTGATTATTCAAATCTCCTACACAAAAAGACAAAAGTCAAACCAGGCAAGGAAAAAAACCTGCTATTGTAATCCCCGTACCCAGCCATTTGGGAAGTGGTGAAAGTCTAGTCTAAATATAGCTCAAAGGTCTCACCCTTCCCTTCCCCTACTCAATGTTACTATTCCGCTCATTTCAAGGTCATTGCACAACGCCTGCCAGAATAGTGTTTCTATTCTGACTTTTATAAACATAAATTTATTGCTTACGTAGTTCAGTAGTGAAATTTTCTATTGTGAAACAGTAGGCCTACTTTAAAACAAAATCACTACCGGTCATGTCATTCTATTCTGTGTCAAGTCAGTATACCATTGCCATTGCCAGTCAGTCGCCGGCGACTGCTTTGAGTTGACCTATTCTGTCGTGACAGCTATAAAAATATTAGGACAACTACCTCTTGCTTATTTCTATACTGTACTTTACTCAAACTCAAAATCTCGAATACTCGTCCATTTTGTGTTAATAGTATAAATAAAATTGGATCCATTAAAACCGGATCCAGCCCAAGATCCGATTTTTGTGGATACGATCGGGCGTCGGTTCTAGCTCAGATCCGGCGGATCCGGTAGTCCGATATCCGGATCCGACCATCACTAAAATAGACAGTAAACACTGATAATCAACTTTTTTGGTTCGTGCTGATTTAAGAATGAACCAGAAGTATTGAAAGCCAACAAATATAAATGTGAAAACTAAGTAACAATACTACCGTACGTCATAAAATAAACTCTATTTTATTTAATACAAGTCAATAATAATAAACTTAACAATTGCTTTATTGATATATAGGCTTATTCTAATTGTTAGTGAAGGGTGAATTTCCTTAGGCCAACCATAAAATTAGCAGTGTCCATTAATGAGGTTAGGTCAGCAACTATCCTCTTGTTCATAATTTTATTTAGTACATTTTTTACTTTAACTTTTTTTAAGGTAAAGGATCCATTACAGAAACACATGTTGTATTTAATTTTTGAAGAAAATCATGTCGTGCTGCATCGAATCGAATCGAAATTCTTTGAATCGCATCGATGCATCGAATCGAAAAAAATATGCTGCATCGCACACCCCTAGAAACATCACTGTCTTCCTTGGTCACCGCAATATCCTGAATACTACTCAGTGGTCACAATCATCATCATCATAATCTCCCGCAATGGCGACCAAATACTGATCATCTCCTGCGTACGTGTAGATATCATCATATCCCGCGGTTACTTAAACGTTATCATCATCGTCCTTTGTGACCATGGTAAAATAATGAAAACCTCCCACGGTCAAGTGGATATTATTGTCACTTTCAGTGATCACGGCCAAATTCTGATCATCTCCCGCGGTCGTGTAGAAAACATCATAATATGCTGTGGTCACAGCAAAATGCTGAATATCCCTACAGTAACGGAAACATCATCATAGTCTTTTGCGAACCTATAAAAATCATGAAAACCTCATGCGGTTGTGTGGACATTATAGTCATCATCCACGATCACGGCCAAATTCTGACCATCTCCCGTGGCCTTGTAGACATCATCATCATTGTCTTCCTCGATCAAGGCAAAATTCTGATCATCTCCCGTGGCCTTGTAGACATCATCATCATTGTCTTCCTCGATCACGGCCAAATTCTGACCATCTCCCGTGGCCTTGTAGACATCATCATCATTGTCTTCCTCGATCAAGGCAAAATTCTGATCATCTCCCGTGGCCTTGTAGACATCATCATCATTGTCTTCCTCGATCACAGCCAAATTCTGACCATCTCCCGTGGCCTTGTAGACATCATCATCATTGTCTTCCTCGATCAAGGCAAAATTCTGATCATCTCCCGTGGCCTTGTAGACATCATCATCATTGTCTTCCTCGATCACGGCCAAATTCTGACCATCTCCCGTGGCCTTGTAGACATCATCATCATTGTCTTCCTCGATCAAGGCAAAATTCTGATCATCTCCCGTGGTCTTGTAGACATCATTGCCGTCTCCCAAGGTCACGGCATAATCCTAAATATCCCAGCGGTAACAGAATCATATTGTCATCTTATCCTTATGTGATTGTAGCAGAATTCAAATTCAAATCTTCTTTATTTGTTTCATGTACAGCAATACAATAAATAGCGTCACAGTTCCTTAATCTAACTCAGTACATTGCATTGAATTGTTCAGTTATGAAATTTACAGTTATGTAGCATCAGCATTCACATAAATTAAATCGTACAAGTAAAATGCATTTCTGATCAAAAAACTTTTGAGTTCGCTTTTGAACTTGTTTTGATTTTCTATGTTCAATATTTCTTTTAGAATATGTTTTAGGAATAAGAATACAGAACTGGCATAGGATGGTTTCTTTTTATATAGCGCAGAATTGTGAAAAGGTAAGACTATGTTTTTTTTTTTTGTTTCTGGTGTTTGTAGTTGTGTATATCTTCATTTGTTGTAAAATTGGCTTTATTTTTCCTGACATGCGTAATGCACTCGAGGATATACAAACTATAGACGGTTAATATATTTTGGTTAATAAAATGCTTCCTTACGGATTCATCAGACTCGAGATTTAACATGGCTCTTATAGCTCTTTTTTGACTAATTAAAATTTCACAAAGGTTTTGTTTGGTTGTACCTCCATACACACAAACTCCTTAAGATAAATGGGATTGCTTGTGGGCATGAAAAACATTTTCTAGAACTTTCGAATTACAAAGATAATACAATCTTTTTAAGGCATAAATTCCTGAGCTTATTTTTGCTAAAAGATAGTCTATATGCAGGTCCCAACTAAGATGGCTATCGATATAAACTCCCAAAAATTTTGATTTATCTACCCTTTCTATCATGAATCATGAACATCTCCCGCGGTCGTGTGGACATCATCATCGTCATTCATAGTCACGGAAACATTATCGTTGTTACCCGCGATTGCGTCAAAAGCAAATATTTTTTATGGTGTGATCTTCACAGACACGTTTATAATCGTTATCGACTTTTAATTATCGATTCTTAATACCGATACAAATGTCCGGGTATCAGTAGTATCGAGAATTGAAATGAGTTGGTATCGAGAATCAACACATCCCTAACCATAAATATTGTTAGACACATCAGAATTATCTTAACAATCATTCTATTTAGGAATTTCTTCCAAAGATCGATTCAGGTAATTTCTTAACTTCTATACTGAGTAAAATTTTACTGCTAATCAAATAGTTAGATATATCAGAACCCAATATTGATTGTAATTGTTGTTTTTCTAGTCTGATGGCAATGGTGGCACTCTATATCATGGAGTATCAAAAGAGAAATACATCATTTGGATTCACGGAAATGGCAAAGAGCAGGTTTAGGTAAGGATGTCAATTGTGTGGTTATAGAATTTACATAATTTCAATTTTGACATGATATCTTCGTTCATAACTGAATCACTTGACAAAATAATTTTTATTGTTTTACTCGGTTTACATACCAAGTATCTGATTAGTGATTAAGTCATTTTAAATTCTATTGCAACATTTAAATAATATTTAACCATTTGTATATAGAAAGATATATATACAAATAAACAATGCCAACGAATTGTTGTTACTATAACCCCATAAACTATATTTGTCAATATCAGTTTAAGCAAATTTGTCAACTCATAGTGTCTCCAAAGTGATATGTACTATAAACTTTTTGGGTATTTTAATTTTTAAAAGTAAAGATTGAACAAATTAAGTTTATCCATCTGCTTGCTTGATCTATAATCATCAACATCATCTCTACAAATTTCTTTGTTGGCAGCAATGAAAACCTGGGTCAAAGCCGGTTCCGGTCAACTACAATGACTTCCTACTGGACCTTGGACGTGAGACCAAACATCTCTGATTACGTCAACCCTAAAAGTGACCCCAAGTATTCAGATGTTTGGTCTTCTGGCAAGAAACATCCTGGGTAAAAAAAAAACATGTACCATATAGATAAGCTAGGGGTAGGATGATTTTCATCATGTTTCTTCAAAACCTTTAAACCTTTTTGCCATCAAGAAATCGTTAGTTCACAATGTTAAGTCAATTTGGATTGTATACGTATTCCGGAATCTCCTCCATTCATGGCAACATTTTCCTACTTTCACACCGTAGAATGCTTCGACCTAGTAGAAAAGATTTACTTCCTACCTCATTTCCTCGGGTTAGGCCTAGAGGCTAGTGATGTGTCTATTTATGAATAAATCATTAATTTAAGTAATCAAAATTGGTCAATGAATTATTAAATATGAGTATACCTTCTTCATTGATTTTGTGCCCCTTTGAATTTATTTGTTGTTGGTCATAATTTGGTCTGTAATTGGAATCACACTGGGAATTAAGAATCAAGTCAACATTTTAGTATCCAACAATTTTAGAATCAAGATAGATAAAACTAATTGCATCGGCTGCCTTAATCTTCTTAAAAATACTTATAATGTTATGAATACCGTTGTATCTAAATTATTTTTCTCTCAGATTGCTCAGTTAAATTGTAATATTAAGCTATTTAGTATTTATTCAAAATATTTATCGTGAACATAAAATTAAAAAATATCTCTTATTCTTTATTGTTTTTAACCATAAACAAACATTATTTTAGTTTTTATAGAATCCTTGTTACTGTCTTTGTTAGCATGCTTGTAACTTTTAGATAACATAAAATTGTCCCACTAGCCCTATAAACAAAGCTTTATTCCCTCATTCCCATAATTTTAATGAATTCAACTTGTACTCTAGGCCAAGCTTTTTAACAACTCTTGACATTTTTTGGAGAAAATAAAAATCCTGTTTAATGCCATCAGAACTTTAAAATTACATTCTTCCCTATCATGATATTCTGATTTTGTTAAAATGATACTTAGTTATTGAATCATACAAGCAATACGTCTGCTTTGGTTGATAACTGATATTTTGGATCTATCCAAATAGGTCTTTCCCTGGACTTGTTAGGTACCCTCTGTGTGAAAGGTATGTTAGAAACTTTGTCACTACAGTAAGTAATTTGTTATTTGATTTAATTCTAAAATAAATATTTTCTCTAGTTTATATTTCAAATATATTATGCAAATTCATATTTCATAGTACTAATTATTATGTGGGTGTAGCTAACGAAGGGGTTTAAATGTATGAACTATTGATCATTAACATGTTCGCTGTGGTTTAAATTAGCATTATACCCCTAGAATTCTTTTTTTCAATTCTTACCCCCGCCCCCCCCCCCCCCAACTAATAGCAACACATAGTAGCACTAATGAAAACTGCTAACAGGCCCTCAGTATTGCTAAATGGAGGGAAAAGGCAGGGGCGAAGTACCCTGGTACACCATCCAAAAATACCACAAAAAAGGTGTTAAGCACAGTTTTGAGGTAAGGTTCCTTCCACAATGCTACACTACAGTCATTATCGTTATCCTATTCCACGTCACTAAATCTAATCCAAAACCACACACTACACTGTTCAAAAAGCAGTGAGTCAGTGGCTCAGTTGGTAGCTTCACGGACTTCGGAGATTTAAATTTTCGCTTTTGAGCTTGTGTAAGGATATTAAGGACAAAAACAAGTGTGGTAAAAATGCTGTAGGTTTTTGTTGCTTGGTTTCAGTTTCATAGATTAAATAATTTTTGTTACTTTAAGAAACTAACAATGCAAAAGTATTGTTGAGTGCCTGCTACAAAGCACATATAAGGGGTTATATCTAAGGGTATCAAAGGGGGGGTATATCGCTTAGATATCCACAAAGATTTTCTTTGTTTATGTTGGACCAGAACTAAGTTGACCTGTTCTTTTTATTTAAACTTTTTACATGAATAATCTGAATCTGTTGCAGAGGGTTTAGCAAGAAGGGGTCTTACAGCGGCGGTGGTGGGAGTTTACCAGGAGTTATGATAAACACCAACACTCCTTCCTCCCCAGCCATCATTGCGTCCAACTGTGGCCTCTCTGACCTTGCTACATCCTGTCAGGTGCGGCAAACACTCAACTTACAATGATTGCCATTGTTAAGTTTCATACCTTTTCTCTCTGCTTAAAACCAAAATCAAAAAATATTTTATCTTTGATATGTGGGACATCAATAAAATGTTGACGTAAGGTAAGCAGATTAGGTTAGGTTATATGGTGACCTGTCGTCAATCAATCCTATCTTTTCCAGTGGATTACTAGTTTCAGGGTTTCAACCCCATTTTAAAATCCTTTTTGTCAAACATTATTATTCAGCGGTTGCTGTTGTCAAAAATACTTAACACATAACATACACACAAAGAAACATTTAATTAACAAAATTTACAAAAACTCGAGGCCGGCCAAGGAAAAAATCAAACTGCCTAAAAATAGCAGTTTTGTTTTTGAGTTTTGAATAACTCCTCGATCAAATCTTAAAACTGAAAATTCCAAAACTTTTTGGAGATTTGTGGTTCGATTTTGACACATCAGTACATAAAAGCAAAATAAATGTATGTAAACTGTATCGTGTTTGTGTCAAGAATTTGTTAATTTGTTTGTTGTTTGTTTGTTTGTGTTGTGGTGTTGTTGTGTAATTTGTTTTATTTGTTATTAGCACTAATGTATTTTTAACCTTTGTATTTTTCAGACCTTTTGCTGCACTTCCACCTCAGCACCATCAGATAATTCCATATCTTACCAGGAGCAGAATTATCAGTGTAAGTTATATGTCTACTCATAGTCTAACGATAAGAAATTCTTCTATGAAAATTAATTGTATTATATCATTTTTGTGCTTCTGAAATTTAATCAGGGCTGTATTCTGTTGAGGTTTCTGAAGAAATAGTTCAATATTGTATTCTGGGTTAAGTGCCATCAAAATTAAGCAAAACAATTCAAAATAAATTCAGTATTCATTGTGAGTTTTGGTTGTGTCAATATAGTTGATGAAAGTGATCTATCTCACGGAAGAACTTTAACTTTAAATTAGTTAATATCAAAACCAGCATATCCAATTCACAAAGATTTCATGTAAGACTGATTGATCAATACACTTATTAAGTTATTTTAGGTGGAAGGAAAAACAATTCTTTTTCATTTGATTCATTAATTCTTATAAATTATATTCTCAAACAAGCTCAGTTTTAATGTGTATCCTATAAGTACTTATTTTAGAGGTGTGCGGATGGTGAAATTTCATTTCGGATCGGATTAGGATCGGATAGTTGAGGCTCGGTTCGGATCGGATCGGATATTGGGAGGTTCGGATTCGGATATTTTTGGATTCGGATAGTTCGGCACGGTTAATAATAAGCTGCATATGTATTTTTAATCTATAAAACAATGTAAAGCTGTGTAAATAAACTTAAATGACAATTTTGAACTATAGAATTTCAAATTAGCCTAGTCCACAGTTTTCTCTCTCTTGAAAATCACAATTCACAACATTTATTTTCAAAATTGGTTGCTTGAATTAAGTACACTAGCAGCCAAAATCTTCACACAACACCTTAGCTCAGCAGGACTGATGTCAAACGTTTGGGCTTGTTTACTTGAGGTTATGTTTTATCTTGTTTCCTGGTTCTCACAAGCCAAGGAGTTCGATCTCAAGTTTATTTTCACATTGTATTTCCTTACGCTTTTGGAACGGATTATTGGCCTTAAGTGGCATTTTGCGGGTTTGCCAAGTTTAGAAAACATCACTAATGCACTAAGACTAGCTCACGATTTGACGTTGGGCAATTAAATTAGACTTTATAACTGTGTAAAAGGTGTGTATCCCTGAATTTATAAATTGCATTCTACACTTATTCACTGCCAAACATACCTTCAGTAGAACCTTGATGAACCGAGAATTACACTAGCCTATATAACTTCATTACACCAAGTAAAATACCAAGATAATTTTTATTTATAATTGTATTTGAATCGTATAATCTTAGTTTGTTAAAAATGGATTGTATGTTCAACAATAATTGCAGTCCATTATTGTTATGCAGTATAATCCGAAATTATTGTTTTTGATTTTGAAACATCACAGTTCATTTGACAAAATTATAGTTGAAGCAGCCCAATGTCAAGTCACGCTTGTGCAATAGTTATTTTACAAGCTTTCTCCAGACCACGGGGGAGGGGAGGGTCTGATAAGCCGTCTATTGTTCACCCTCAAGAAGGTCCGACCCTCATTAGTGCCGCTCGGCTGCACTCAGTGGGGAACCCAATACCACAAATCAATCTTTTAAATGAATACAAATATTTGGTAATAATTGTTTTATTAATATTCACCTTAAAATTTCAATAAATTTGGTGTAAAATTTGACAAAAATCGGCCATTTTGACCGATTATTAATACAGTACCAAATACCAATAAAGTAGTACATTCATTGATAATTAAATAATAGGTAAAAATTAACCGATTTTCGTCAAGCTTTACCCCCCTGCTGTGCGCTATGTCACAAAAGCTGATAACGACATGGGTGATTAGTAACCATGGCAACTTGTTGAATGCGTGATGAAGGGAAACCCAAGAAATAGAAGAACCAAGAGAAAGAATAACGACGTTGTTATCTTTATACCCTTTTTACAATTTCCGTTATTGTTATCTTTATGTAAGATTTTATGATTTAGTTTTATAGGTTTATAAAATAATTCTTTTTGACTACGGGAATATCAATTTATAATTTATCAACGTGCTTCTCTTCTGAAACAGCAATACCGGATGCATAATAAAGGTCAATGACCTAAAATATCACGATTGTGCAATTTTGTATTTTGATGTTGAAATTAAAATCACGGCAAAAGTTTGTATATAGCCATGGTCCCTATAGTTTAATCATTTAATATGTACACAATCAATGCTAAATAATCGTGGTTAGTTCTAACTTTATTTTTTATTATTCAAAGTTTCTACACAGTAAGACAATCCAAAGTCAAACCGGGCAATGAATACCCAAAAAACAACGTATCTTGTCCTGTGATTGGAATACCACTCGCCGCCGGCCAGTCCTTTAGGTTTAGGGAAGTAGTGCAAGTCTATATATAGCTTCAAGGTCTTACCCACCCCTTCCCCTCCGGTCCTACTTGACTCACTACCCGCGCTCCTTTCGAGGTCATTGCCCAACCCCTCGCACCCTTATATTGTGTTGCCTTTCTATTGTTTCTATTCTGACTTTTTTTCGGGAAACATTAAATCTATTGTTTACGTAACATCACAGTAGTAGGCTAGATTTTTCTTCTTTGAAACAGTACTGTAAAAAAACTATTACACAGCGCCCCTAGTATCAAGAGCGAGACAAGCACGAGTTGACTTTCATTTGACCATGGTAGTTCTTTTCTGCTTTATGTCTGTTCGTTCCAGACGAATCTAATCGTAAAGCAAAACAGCCGATAAGGACTAAACTAGTTATCAGTATTGCATCATACGGCTTCTTTGCCGTTTGCTGTTAGGTCGTTGGAAACGTATTGCTGTAATTTTGTCCTGGGAAAGGGAAACTAATGGTGGCTATGGAGATTTAGTTTTCTGTCCGAAACGTCAAAATATTGTCTATCCGAAAAAGTCGGATATATAACGGATAGTGTCGGATATCGAATTTGGGCCCGGTTCGGATACGGATACCCGAACCGAACCGAATCCGACCCGATTTTTCGGATATCCGCACACCTCTAACTTATTTAGGACTTAGTACTTATAACTTATTTGTACTTAGCAACTTTTTTGTATGACACAAATGTATATGTATGTATATGGAATCTCAGTGTACTCACTCACAAAGCAAATCATGCATACAACGTGCATGACACCACAACAAACACGATGATGCGTAGATGTTAATCTCCTGGAGATTACAACTTTTAGTGGAACTGTGTTACACACATAAAATAGATATTATATGATTTTCCCATAGGATTTTCCTCCAATGTTGAAAAGCTGTAAAGTTTTATAAATAAATAACAGTTGCAGTTAACCCTTCGAGGTCGAATTTTTTCCACATTTTCCGGCGAATTTAGATTGCCATTCAAGCAGTCAGGAAAATGGCGCCCAGTGACCTATACTCGCCACTCAACCAAAAAAAAACACTTTTTTGAGTTTTGAATTTTTTTTTTTTTTGGGTCCTTATAGGTCGCCATTTTTGAGCAGTCGGCAAAATGGCGGGCGGCGACCTATACTCGCCATTCGACCGCAAAGGGTTAATACTGTAAGGTTTGTGCTTCTAATGATTTAATTTTGTTTGCAGTTCAAAGGCCTGATGCTACTCCAGCCACCAATGCCATTGAAGAACTTTCAGAAAACGGCTCTCAGGATGCTCTCAGCAAGGAAGTGGGAACTAAGCAGGTCTGTAATTTAAAAGATAGGAAATAATCGTCTTTTTCGCAATTCCAATATTGCACTTAAATCAGAGCGAAAGTTTTATTTAAAGTTGGATTCAATTACAGTGTTGACAGAAATCTAAATTATACCTTTATTAACTGGTCACATTATTGAGTATTTACATTAGTTCTCTCCAAGACACAGGATTTTAAATAAACAATCTTCTTCAGCCATCTTTTCCTCCTACTATCTTCTTCCTCAATCATCTCCTTTGTGACATAACATTTCCCTTTGAGTCAGATAAAACAATGGTAACTAAAAACAATGTTCCAGCAGCGAGAGTGGATACCTACGAAGGATAATTTACTTCCTCACAAGAAACAACCAGCTGATGACTTCATTCAACAGGAGAATTCCTTTTCATCTTCTGACTTTTCTGCAGGTAGGTTTTAATTCGGTTGAGACATTAAACACTACTATAACTGAATACTTAATACACTATAGAAATACTACTATAAAATATTTTACAATTAGTAAAATTCTTAATCAAGAATTGTTTAGTACAACAAAAATCTTTAAGTTGCTTTGTATTGATTTATTGTTCCTACAGGTTTGGAAGATCAAATTTTCTTTAGTAAAAATAAGAATGGCTTCACATTTCGGTGATCATTTACTCTTAGTTGGAAAATATTTAAATACCTGTTAAGTAATATACAGTATATTGTAGGGATAGGCGGATCCAAGAAAATTTCGGTTCCGGATCCGGATTTTGAAAGATTTGGATCCGGATCTTCGAATCCGGATCCAGATACACACTGTCATAAGGGCGGGTTAAGAAAAAACTTAATTAACAGAATGCCAATTTATATAATACTGTTTTAAATTAAATTGGTAATGTTTAAAGGTTAATATATCTGATATATAGAGTAATCTCCAGTTGAGCCCATAATTCCTCATTTTTTGTGGACACTAAAACTTTTCAAAAGCATAAAATTAAAAACTTTGTGCTAAGTTTGCACAACCACCAAAAGGGTAAAGGGTATCTGTGTATATTTTACTATAGTTCGATCTTGAGTATGCTATATCGTGGTTTTTGTGTGCAGCATCCAATTTATTTATGCCTGGATCACCCCTTGCTTATCTCTTCCTCAAATTTGTTCCAGGTCCACAGTACTGATAGCCGGGTATGTGAAATTCTACAGGTAAAATACCCTGTGTCTGTGTACAATAAGATTATCTGTGTACATACAGGGTGAATAAAAAGTCGAGACTCCCCCATCTAATATTTTTCTAAGTTAGAACACAGCATAGTCTTCTTGTACACAGACACAGGGTATTTTACCTGTAGAATTTCACATACCCGGCTATCAGTACTGTGGACCTGGAACAAATTTAAGGAAGAGATAAGCAAGGGGTGATTCAGGCATAAATAAATTGGATGCTGCACGCAAAAACGACAATATAGCATACTCAAGATCAAAGGATAGTAAAATTAGATCAGTGGCTGACAGCTTATTAGCTTGGGAAAAGGTAAAAGCTTCAGACTCTAGTATTGGTGAGAGAGCTGCCCCCTGGGCAGTTACTAACATAATGAAAACTAAAGCAAAACTTGGTGGGGGAAAAGGGAAGACTTCAAAAATTAAAAAACAAATAAGAAAGAAAAAACCTGTTGGGAAAAAGAAAAAAATCCTAAATGTGCCTGCAAGTGGAAAAATAAAAGTGGTAAGTGGCTCTATTTGAGACCTTATACGGGATCTGTCAGTCAAAGTAAAAAAAAATTACTCATAGGAAATAATTGAAAGACTTCCAGAAAACCCATTTACTAGTTTGGATATAATAAAACTTGCTGCTGATTTAAAGTTTCCTTATTTTAGAGGAGTCTTCTTGTACACAGATTAATGATGGGCGAGACTAGATTTTTCACTTCGAGACGAGACGAGACAGGATTTTTTTTAATTCCTGCGGGATGGGATTTAATGGACAGTTATAAAAAAATTAATATCAAAGAATTGATATGGCAAGGCCATGTCTCAGTGTTTGTCTCTTGATGCAAATAACAAGGGCATGTATCTTGCCGTACCGAATCCGACCCGATTTTTTTGATATCCGCACACCTCTAGATTTTAGTTTTGTACCTTGATGATTAGCTAACGGCCCATAATCTTGTCTCGAAAATATCCTGTTAGTAATTCAATCCTGCCCGAAGCTGAAAAAATGAAAAAAATCTCGAAGTTTCGGGTCTTGTCCATCACTAACACAGATAGTCTTCTTGTACACAGACACAGATAGTCTTCTTGTACACAGTCACAGATAGTCTTGTACATGGATACAGACAGCTTTGTGTTAAAATTGGGGAAAAATTGGTCTTGTACATGGATACAGACAGCTTTGTATTAATAAAAAAATCGGGAAAAATCGGATCCTTCAAAACCGGATCCAGCCAAATCCGGAATTTTTCGGATCCGATCGGGTGCCGGTTCTAGCCGGTAGTCCGATATCCGGATCCGACCATCACTAGTATATTGTACAATTGTACGTATGGTGGTATATCATTGTTACAATGTGTTTGTGCAGCCGTAGAGCGGGGAGGGATCAGCGTGGTGGTTATCGGAAGTGCCTACAATGCATCAGTGGACCACTGCAGTACCGATCCTTACCTTCCTCCCCATAACTTCAGCTGTGCGGAGTCCCTAAACAATTATCTACCTGATCCAAACATCACCTTGCATTTCAAGTACGTACCTTAAACATTTGCCACATGTCACATTGATAGCTACCAATTTTGCTTAAGAGGCATGCCTGTTCTAGTGACTTGTATCCTAGAGGATTGAGTCACTCGTTACTCTTAGCTGTCACCCAGTTGTTCAGAGCCAACTTAAAGCTGTAGGTCAACTTTATCATGGTAAAAATAACTTTTCAGTTGGTATTGTCAACTGGTTTTTGCAAGAAAGTGTGACTATGAAGAGCAAACTTTCCCTTTATGTTCTATGTTTGATTTCACATCTTTCACATAAAACTTCAACACCTCAAGAGTAAAATTTGCTATATTCGGTAGTAAAAACCCTCTATTTATAACTGAACGGGGCCTAGTTTCCCTTCAATATGACACATAGTCAGTTATTTAGCTTTTTATGTAATTTGTTTGGAATGCATGCCAATAATACACATAATATTTTTCATTATATTTTACTTGACTGTGTACCTAAATGAATAAACACTACCAAGGGTTGATGAGGCACTATTTCTGTGTCATGTACCTTGGTAGATAAACTTGTTTGAAAAATCGAGGTTAAAAAATAATGTATAAAAAGATTTCCCTATTAGCTAGGATTCCAAGAAAAAGGTAAAAATTTTGTGTTCTTAGCGTGCTACAGAAAAAAAGCATATTAATAGTGAGGAGATAATAAATAGCTTTAAATGTCTACTTGAAAGTCAATTAAGAGATTATAAAACTTAGACGTTGTGTACCCGATCAGGTGCATTATAAGGTTAAGTGCACTGCCTGAACCTTGTCAGGTGTATCACATTATTTATACATGTTGGTTCAGGTTCATTCCTGGAGGCCGAGTGCACTTCTGCCGAGAGACGAGGGTTCACAAGTGTTCATGGACCAATCAGGGGGTGCCTACAATCGAGCAGATTGCCAATGATAGGTTCAGAGTTGACGTGGGTCACTCATTGGCTGTCATGCTCATGTTCCGACTTCCCTACTCAGACTCCTCAGCCCAGGTTAGTGTCAAATCGTCCTTTGCCCATGAAACGTTTGGAACATTAAGAGTCCTTGGAGGCTAGCAGCCATCTTGGATAATTCAAACAGCTGCTGTAGAGATATTTATCGTCCACAAATATTTTTCAAATACCAAAGTGAGTGTAATTTAAATAGGCCTATCTAGTAAACTGTGAGATTAGATATTTTCTTTTAGTTTTGAATTGTTCTCCAATGGAGTCCATGGAAGCTAACAGCCATCTTGGATTTGCCCGCCAAAAGAGCAATGGTAATTTTGTTCATTTCAAACAGCTTCCATTTGTCAATGAGTTATTTACCACCTCAAAATATTTTTTTCAAATACCAGAGTGATTGTAATTTTAAAATATCTAGAAAACTGTGAGATTAGAAATTTTTCTTGAAGTTTTTTAATTGTTTTTTGAGTTAGAACGTCTAGGCTCCAAGGACTCTTAAGTCTAAATTTCATAAGATCCTAAGCATAAAACTCTTCACCATGTTTTATAAATATTGTACTCGGACAGTGTGAATCTGTCTGATACTTTATCTTGAACATGAAACAGCTCAAACTGTTATTTCAGACAATTTGGCATTGATTTCTTACCTTAGGACATTGGCACGGTGCAATGAAAATGACATTAATGCAAACAAAATTCACTTTCACCACAATTAAATTATATGAACAGTACACTATTTGGAATAAAATTACCTTTGAATAAATTGTAGGAAATTATTTTCTCAAAAGGTTATTGTTTATAAATGATTGCATCATTGTTTTACATAACTGTTGGATGAGACAATCTCATTTATAGAAACTTGTGTAGGATAGGAATCAATATTTCTTGGGATAAATCTTCATAATAATAAATATAATAAAGAAAATTCCCTTCAAAACCCAAAATTAAAGGTGCGAGAGCCTGAAAATCTGAGGTTGGAGCAGATTTAGAGTTGTGCTTTTGGAAATCAACTGTAGTCTCGACCTTTTTTCAAGCTAAGTTTTTTTATATAAGTTTGTTGTAAAAACAAATAATAAATTAATGATATTATTATTTGTTATCTGTCTCAAATATTATTTTCTAAATACTGTTTGATCTTTTAATCTAGAGTTAAATATAAGTAAGTTCATAAAAGGATGATGAAACAAGGAACCCAGTTTATAATGAATGTGAAAATTTTTCATTTTTTTCAAAGCCAATATTTTTTCAATTGTTGCTATCATAAACTAGGAATACAAATACAAAAATATATTCTAATAATGAATAACTAAACTTATAAGGAATTGAATTTTGATTAGAAATAAACTTACTAACCCATTACCATTGTAATTATTTTTTTATTTTTTTAATACAGGTTAATGTTTTAGAATCAATAAAGATATTTCAAAATTCAAGGAGGATGAAATAGATGAACTTTGTATTTAAGATATTTAGTCCAGAAAAAATAGTTTTATTTCAATAAAAATATATGAGTAATATATTAGATATTTTATGTTTATCACAAAAGAACATCTCATATTTAATATATAACTAACACTTTCTTTGTGAACACTTGAAAAAGGAACATTTAAATTTAAATGCCACGCTTCAGTATACAGTCAACAATGGCTAGTGTTTAGTCAGAAGTTGAGTGTTTACATATAATCCTTGATAGTGGTACCATGGTAACCATCTCCTGCGGCCTTGTGACATCATCTTTGTCTTCCGCAATCACAGCACATTCCTTTTTATTATGATCCTGGGATCCCGAATACCAGCCAATTTTTGATACCTAGAAATCCCGGGATTGGTGACTTTCAATCCCGGGATTAACGGGACTGCAAAACCTATGTTTATATTGATTTTTTTGTGAATTTGATGTCTTTTACTTACGGAAAATTAATAAAAATACGTCTAATAACACTTGAAACACATACTCTTTATTTTTAGGACGATTATATGAAATGGTATAAGTAATTATATTTTTTGATTGGAAAATTTAATTATCAATAACGAACGAATGTAGGCCTAAATATATGTTTCAGTTTTTAGACGATTTGGATTTACTTTCTGTAAATGTTATTACATTAGTTTTAACTTAATTACAGTAGGCCTACAAGTTATTTTGAGCTTTACTTTTGACATTAAACGTAAACAACGCAATTCGTGTAGCAAACATAACATTGCAATCGGAAATTTAAGTATTATTTTCATTGAAGCCATCAAATATAACTATAAACTCACGATTATAATCTCATTATTAAGATTGCTTATATTTAGGGTCTATAACTTTATCATCGTATTTGGTCATTAGTGTAGTGATTAAATTTCTTACAATCTAAAATTACGTTTTTCATACACACGCTACTACATAAGCAGATGGTTTATTGTTTTACAGTATATTATATTGTTTTATTGCTGTCAGTCAAAATAAAATTTTTACGCTGCTACTTGTGATTCTTCCCATTTTATCTTTTTCTCTCAGCTATCTTTAATCTATCTATTAGCGTGACGTATAGCCTACGTGCGAGTGCGGTTGCTCGTGATTTTTTAGATGTATTTATTATATTCTAGAGTGACATATCAACATTTATACACTGAAAATAAGAAATACGAGCGATGAAAGTTCCGCGTGGTTATATTTATTTACTTAGAAAACGGAAACATTGCTCAGTGTAACACTGGTAAGGCCAGTTTAAAACATTAAAGTACTCAACGAGGGGACTTCTCGCTCATTTAAAATGGCTAAAAAGTTAAAATCATAATATTATATAATCCTGGGATTGATCCCGGGATCGGCTGAGACGAATCCCGAAATCCTGGGATTGGATTGAAGGCCCGGGATTGAGACCCCTACTTTTTAGGCAGTGCTATAGATGTCGCCATCCTCTTCCGTGATTGTTTTGTTGGAATCCTCATTTTTGTGGTATTAGAAATTTTTCCATTATTCACTCAAGTTAATTTAGGTTCTGTGTACGCTTTTCAATCTGCATGTAGGTACTAATTAACTGTCGTAGAATAAAAGTAGTCATTATAATAGAATAAGTGAATAGTAAATTGTTCAAGATTGGTCGGCTGTTGGAATGTGAACTTGTTATTAGTTAGTGATTTATTGTTTGTTTTGACTCTAAACAATTACCCAAGATAACAGCAGAAGGTTGTGAAGCCTAAACAATGTTCATGTTCATGTAAGATATATTGTAAATATATTTGCTGTACTCTGATTTATTTGCAGACTGTCTGCAGTGAGCCTGACAAGAGGATTGGAACTTCCTTTGCAGAATACAACTTGTACCTATACAGGGCCTGCCAAGGTTAACATCCGTCCTTCCGTCACCTTATGTAATATCTTTGCATATCAGTTTGTCTCATTTTGAAACCAGATGAGACATTTTGTTGCATTTATGTGTATTACGTTACACATTCTCCATATATTATTTTTTATTATGCATTTATTTTTTGTAATTCCTTTATTACATTATAATATTGTGTTCCTGTTTGTTTCTACGTTTGTTATACCCTAGGCTGTACATACTTTATTTCAAAACAGTAAGTATTTAAAGTTTATTCGGCTTTTCAGAATCTCATTGGTCCAATTGACACCTCTAATTGGAAAAGCTCTTGATAATTCCCACAAAAATGTTTTATCTTATGATTCGTTTTGCTACATCATTGTAAATATAAAGACCAAGTACAAAATGTTAAATAAAGATATTACTGTAAGGTAAGTGAATTTAAAGTTAGTCACATTAGTTCAAAGAGGTTTTGTTATCTATAGCCTACAGTGTCAAGAATCAAGTTGGGAAAACTACATTTTCCATGCCATAACTGTTTCCATTTCTCTAAAGCTTTTTTCAGTTTACAGTTTATCAATATCTATGCATGTATATATCTAACTTTAATTTATCACATTTTAGTTAAAATTTTTAATTCCCATGCTAAATTCATTGAATCCATTACATGGATACTATCAGTTTTTGTTTCTGATTTATACATGTGTGCATATAAAACTGCATACAATATTATTAGATATTTTCAAACGCAATTTATAAATGATATTTAATACAAAAAGTAATTCTAGAGTAGTATTTTCTTACGTGCCCATGTAAAATTAAACCTAGCTAGTTATCAAGACAACAAAGTCAAATGAGCACAACTAAATCCATATGTTGGAGTATTTTGCTACTGGTAGAGTTAGATATGTGCATGTTCTGTTAGTTAAATGTACCCATTGCATTACGGTATTACAGTAGAAATCCAATTATCCGAACCTCAACTACTCAAATAGATTTTGACTGAAATAATAGAAATCAAGAAAATAATAGCAGAAGAGCGTGTAGCGATAATAATAATACCCCATTCTGTGACAGTAGCAATGTGAGCGAAAATACTCACGCTGTTACTTTCCCGCTCAATATTATTGTTTAAATACGTCAACTCACTTTGCTCTAGATTTTCTAACAAGCTAACCCACATTGAACAGTGAAATACATACACTATACTATATTTAAAAGAGCAACTGTATGTACTGTATCCAATTTAACTTTTGTGGTGCAATTTTATGATGAATATTTTTAATACAGTTCACATACTTTCTATTCATTACATTTATAGAAACTTTCTCAATTTAATTCTGATTTTTAAAATGCATGTTTATGTTTTTCCCCCAAGGTATACACAATTAACTGAATATCTGTATATCCGAATCAGCCAATCCCAAATCAATTCAGATAATCGTAGTTCTACTGTCTTCAGTTAAGAATTTCTGTGTAATTTACAATAAACTAGCGAAACTTTCTCCAATAAGTTAGTGTTTTTAACTAAAGTTTAACTTTTATTAGTTGTAATAATGTTTTTAGATTTGACAAATCTTTGTCTTTATCTAAATATCAAACATGTTATACTTAGCAGTAGCATTAGATAGTTTTGATAAATGTTTTTATAACTAAATTGGATTTTTCTTTCACAATCATTTATCACATAGAAATATTTACTTAGAAAATAATAGCGTGTAAATAAATGTTGATTTACATTTTGAATTAATTTTAAAAAGCAGAGTATATACCGTTGTCTTGTTTACAACTAAACAGTGTGTCTTACACGTTGCCTTTTGAAGTTTGATCGTTTGTTGTATATCTACGGTAATGAAACCAAGCAATAAAGTCTTACAATCAGAAATGACAATTATGTACATGTTAATATACATAATAAACAACCTATTATAATCAACTAAGTATTTTATACTGCTATTTTGCAGTATTTTCAACTTTTAAAAAGACGTCTTTGGCTAAGTAGGATTTGGAGTTATCATGTGATATTTTAAATGAGTTATACAGCATACTTTAATGTAGATTTTCCTTTTAGTGCTAAAAAAACTGGTCTAATAAATGTGACTTTTAGTGGTGTCTAAGTTATATCATAAATATTCATTGTAGTAGTTGTTTGTTGTTATTCAGAAAGTTCTGAGGCATTTTTAGATTTATCTACAAAAGTTAAGTATGAGTTTATGCATTAGATGTTAACTATGTACGTACAAAATAATACTTTGCATTTCATTTTCCTAATATTGTTTGCAATTATAATAGAAAGTAACATAGAATGTGATTTTGATAAAGATCTTAAGTGTTTTTTTTATATTTCTACTAGCATTTTAATTTAAAGCCAATTGATATAAACTGTTTGGTTTTGAATGCTAAATGTATAATGTAAAAAGTTCATGAAACAATTCCAAACAAAACATTCCTTTAAAAAAGAATCTTTCATAGTCACACGGCTACCGATTTTACTTTGAAGAAACCAAAATCTTAATGTTATAACCGTAAAATTCTAAAATTAAATTGAACTTTTTTTTTATATTCAATTTAACTGAAGTATTTGTGAAATATATTTAGGTAAATGTACAATTTTTACATGAAATGAGTAATCTAGTTTTGTTAACTGTTTGGATTAACAATAACGTTTAAATTAGAGCAATACACAGAACTAAAGCAATAGATTAAAATTTATTGTAAATACTAAATAATCATGAATATATTTTCTTTAGTCGTAATCATCGTTATTAGTAGATACTTAAGCTATGTGTGCTTTAGTGGTGAAGTAATCGGTTTCCTTTATTCCTTCCATTTATCAAGCTGACAAATCATCTTGTTTGGATTTGTAAAATCTAAGGAATCTCATCCATATTTTCTTTAAGTATTTTAAAATTTAATTTACTTGTCTTTCCATTTTACAAGGGTACCTTCTCGCTTTAAGTTCCTCCTAAGTTGTTTAGTATTTCATGTTTATACTAGTAGCCAATTAAGGATTAACATCAGTTTAATCTAATATATTGTATGGAGTTTAAACATTCCATAGGTGTCATTAGTGGTAAGCAAGATGTATGGAGATGGCTTACTGTAGTGGACATGTTAATATTTTGTTGTTTACATTTTGTGTTTTTGGATAATTTTGTCAAAAAGTCAGTAAATATAAAATTTGTGCCATTTTACTGATTGATACGAACGTCAATGTTACGAATCGAAAGTAAGCTTATGACTCAGCAGTATATGATTATAGAAATAAACAACTAATATTGCAATCAATGTCTGATTGTCACACAACAGAGCATCAACAAACACGCCACTAGTGTTGGACTACAAGAGGACACAACAGAGCGTTGGACTACAAGAGGCCACTTTTGAAATTAAATTTTTGTTATGTATGTATTAGATTGTATATATTTCCAAAAATGGAAACTTCACATAGATGTTCCTTTATTAGATGCATTGTGTGTTAAAGAATTTCTTTTAACCTAAAAATTCAACTTGTGGTTAAATTTAAACTTTCAACAGATATGATATTACTATATTTTTATTTGGTATTTCTACGTGTTACATATATATTGAGCTTATAAGATAATCACTAAGAATATGTAATATTATAGTGGATAAAAATATTCTATAGATTTTCAAAATAATTATTGTCTGTGGTACAAATGTAAAATGTCAAATAAAAAGTGCTAAGAGAGTTATTAGATTTGTGTTTTTATTAATCCAGCCAAATAAATATTTTATTTTAGTTCATTGTAAACAATGTGTCTACATCGTTGTAACTACATATTGTGTCTGTAGGCACGGTAACTTGTAAGAAATTATACTATTTAGATTAAATTACGTATGAAACATGCAATGCAAGCAACATCTGCTTGATTAGCTTCCAAGATATGATTACGGAATGAAAGGTTTTGTAATGAGGTGGCTCTGTAGCCCAAAAATTGGTATGACTCATAGATGCAGCCTATAATAACAAACTAGATAAAATATACACTTTATGTTCTAATTATTAAAGTACCTATACAATTAGTGTTTGTACTTAGTTTTTAGTTTCAAATCAAACTTATTTTTCTTCTGGAAAAGTATTTACTAAAAAAAAGTGAACAACTTAATAGCTAAGTCGTACGAACAAAGTCATATAACCAAAAAGTACATGACACCATAGACTAACCAACACAAGTAGACTTCTCATCCCATTGTAAATTTTGAAGCACGTTTTTCGTGTCTAGTTCATGTACGGTGACACTGGGCGCTAGTTTCGACGACATTTTGTTTCTATTATTTTAGGGTTAATTTCTTGATTTGTGCTTTACTGTTTGGTTATATAACTAGGGGAAGTGTTATTGTTTATGATTAGATCGTACTATTTGGTTCAACTAGGTTTTAAATGACGGGAAACAAATTGTGAACAAAACACGACCTCTACATAAACCGTACAGCACTAACAATAAAATTGTCTTCAGCTGATCCTTAAGGATGAGAAATCTACTAAAGGAGTATGTTTTATCTATGATGACACCTATCAAATGAAAACATTTAATTGTTAATATAGTAGTAAATGGTATAGGAAATCTGTATTTGCAACAAACAATTTTATTCGGTATACATAAACAATTTTATAACTGCATGTGCTTAGCATTGACAAAGTCATAGCATAGTAAAATTATAGAAGAAGTGTTAAGTAATCAACATGCCAGTATTAAAGAAAATTATTTATAAATATTTGCAAACCTAAAATAATTACAAACTAACAAGTCATAACAACGAATGAATCGAAACATTACCAAAAGAGAAACATGTCAATGTCAATACAGTAGTGAATGGTTTGGGACTATTTGCAACTGAATGAGAGCCAATGAATATTTACGCTGTTGTAGCATAGTTAGCAATATATTGTTGCAACAGACGCCCAATGTGGGTCATTCTACCACCAGGAAGGATACAAGCACATTAAGTTCCATTGTGATCTAATGAGGGGGAAGTAAGGTCAAAGGTGGTAGTGACTGTGTGCCTACAGACTTGTGCTCTGTGCTGCTCTCTGCTCCAACTCTAACGTAAGTTCTCTTATCCTTTCTATTTTATCCTGAAATATTCTAGTTTAAACAATATCTTATCTTGTTAAAGTTTATTTGAAAGTATCTGTAATATAAAAGTGTGACAGGAAATTGTTTGTTTCATTTAGTTTGTGTATCAAGTAAAATCGTACGGTCATTCTTCACCCACATGGGTTTCTATTTTCAGTTTCTGTGTACAACCAAGTCTATTCTCTTAAATTATAGCTGTCTTTTGTGTGTAAAAACGACATAAATTGTACATGATTGAAGTGGTTGAACCCACATAATTTATATCAAAGTATCTCTAAAGTATATTTAGTCATTAACAGATTTTCTATTGTTTATAAAAATACAAAATTAATACTTATAGCATCTTAATTTTTTCCTATTTATATAACTAAATTCAATGTACTGTGTGCAAATCCATTTCAGTATAAGTCAAAATTTGATTGTGCCCTTGTCAACTTTAAATTACTCTTGTAAAGTAAAGTAATGATATAAAAAATAATCGATAAGAGTGATGGTTGTATTGTGGTATTTAAATAAATACCATAACAAGATTTTAATCTAACTTTTCTGAGTATAGTTACTAGTATTTACTTTAACTTTTCGAGCAGCTAAGCCTGGCAAATACTTACAAAATTCTACCAAGACACTTACATTGTTTTCACATTATAATGTTAAAAACTGCTCAGGTAAATATATTTAGTAGTGATGAGAAGAGCATGAGAGCTTTCACTCTTCACTCTACATGGTTACGGCGACAACAGTCAAGTCTTGCAACCGTTCAATGCCATTGAGCTGGAAGGTTGTCGCACCGTGGCCGTCTGTCAGTGACACACGTAGTTAAGTGCAAGCTTTCACACTGCTCTTTGTTGAACGGAATCCCATCTAATAATAAGAATAATAAGAATCAAAGAATTAGATTAAGGAACATAGATATAAATTAACCATGTACCAGCTTGGGAATTACTTTTGTAATTATTGTATCAGGCGTTATGTACAATAAAGTTTTGTCTATAATAACTGATTCCCAGAACGTATCTTTTTAAAGAGAAAACTTTTGGATTTTATTACTACTTTATAAGAAAAATCTACAAAAACAAACAATACTGTATATTTTATTTATACTACTTTTAATTATACTACTCAAAGAAACTGAGGTTATAAAGTCCGCCCCTAATTAATTTTGTAATTCCAAAGAGTTTGCTTGATTTTTTTTACAATAATTGACAGCTGAACAGGGGTAAATTATATCAGGAATCCCTGTCATCCCTGAAAAAAATGATGTAACTTTACAAGAATATTTACTTATTATAATAATTGTAACCTAATAGTTGAGATTGTCCAGGGTCAGTTGCTGACTGTGATGAGTTAAGCCTATTACGCGCCACTGTTCTGTAGCTGCGGTCGTTATCACGATTACGTCTCTTGTCTATGTTTCGTTGTCGTCGCGTCAGAGGCATTTAAGAAAAAAAAACAACAAATAAACAAATTATAGCTACACAAAACAACGATAAATGCACAAATTTAAGTTACGATCATACTAACACAATCCGTCATAGCGACACAAACAACGATAAATACACAAATTTAAGATACAACCATACTAACACGATCCGTCTTGGGGGTTATGTTTACACAAAGTCAAATAGGTAGTAAATAAATGTACTCAATGCGTTTCATTGAATTGAAAAATAAATAACAGCAATTAAATTATACAGCTGATCAAAATGTAAACAATTATGTTCTTCATAAGAATAACATGGGAACTTTCAAAGCCACTGGGGCAGAGCCTAAGGAACTTTTTCAAAAATGTAAGGCCAGTTTGCAAATCTACGCGGCACGCTCTTTCCAATGAGACGTCAATGGATAAAATCTGTTAAGAAATGGCGGAGGAGTTCAACCAACAAAGTTTCATGTAGCTTATTAATTATATAGATTATATAATATTTCACTTATCAAATTGTTTAAAAGATATATGCAAGGCCCAAAGGCAGTCAATCAATTAAAAAACATTGTTTTATTCAATGAAGTGTCTTAAAAATATATTAAATTACCTTTTTTTTAATAGGTTGGCGCTCTTACTGTTTATTTCCATTAAATATTAAGATAATACAGTATTTAAAAGTATTACAAGGTTTAGTTCCAAATTTATAAGATTTTTTTTTATCCTTAGTTTCGGAATTTGTCTTGCTATTTCACCCAGGAGTAGGTAAATTTTCTTCAAGTGATATTAGTTAATGGTTCACTTATTTACTTCAGTAATTGACAGATACAGTATAATAGAACCTTGATAAGAAGTGTCTCAGGGGGATTAGGGATACAGATTTGTTGTTGAGATGCTCTTCTTGTTAAAGTTCCTATTATCAAGGTAATTTCTGCTAGCAATGTGTTATCAAGTTTAACGAGCAACTTTAAAATGAATGCATACTACAGTAACTATGTTTTAGTTATAATTTACTGTGGATTACTCTTATTATTGAGTAACAAAGTAAATAATATATACTTTTAATAAAATATTTCCGCAGCAGCAAACCTGCATACTAAGCGAATTTCCATTTACCTATGACTAGATTTCCACTAAAATATTCCCTTGGAATTGTCTGATTTATTTCCTATTTTAAATAACATTAGGTTAAATTAGTACGTAGGTTTACTGCTACGGGGAGGGTAGTAATTTTTTTTTTTAAGTAATATACTATTAGCTTAGTATAAAATATACCAATTTTTATCAAAATATATCCGCAAACAAGCTAACTACAACAGTTTATTTATAGTTTTGAAAGAAATTGCAAACCTTTTTGATTATAGGGTCAAAAATGGAAAAAACCCAATCTCTACCCCATAAAAGCCCCCATAAACCTTGGTGCCCATAGTTCGATCGTGCTGGTTTGCAAATTTGTTTGAATAAATGTAGGTTTACATGTTTGTACCAAATTTCATGAAAATCGGATGATTTTTGCTTGATTTATCACACTAACGGGCACATAAAAATATATTATATGAAATTGAACGGTGGGTGTTTCTGGCCACTGGGGACCTTAAAACAAAAAAAGGATATCGGTCTTGGGTCCAGGTCTTACCATGAGACCTACGGTAATAGCTTATTCCATATATGGGAAATTCGCTAAAAACACTAGCGTTTAATTTTCGCATTATGAAGCACGGTGGAGTGGGGGTTCCAAGTCTATACAATTGTTCTATAGAAACAGAAAGCTAAGTCTATCTGTGGCTCATTTCACCTTTGTAAATTGTCATTCAACTGGCCACAATTTTAACATAGAAATGGAATGTTTACTGCTCTCCGTAGTCAAAAGGTTCAATAAATCAGATTTTTGTCTTGGGTGGTTTATATTACTCCAATTATGATCGTTAAAAATCAATTGCATGGTTGTATCAGTAAAAATAATAAAATATGATTATTTTTTTGTACAATAATATGATGGTCGTAATAATATCTGATGATTTTGATAAAAATAAGAGAGAAACGTTTTAATCCTCTGTAGGCTACACAAGGCCTGAGAAAAACCTCTTGGACTTTGACCCCAAAAACGATTCCTTACATCACTCCTCTTAAGTCACCCATTTTTTTTTCTAACCTGAAGATCACCCCATGAAGATTATCATTTGAATATTTCTTTAAATCACTCCCTCTTTTTGCTTGCAAAGTTCCAAATTGCATATTTTGGATAGATGAGGGAAAACTTGATAACCAGACATAACTAAATTACTGGATTATTCCTGGAGTTATAATGGTGTTTTTCGTGGTTTTTTTAGATGACGCCAGGGAGTGTGAATGAAAAACTGGGGACTCCGACGATTCCCCAGTTCTTCCAGGAGAGACACATTCTCATCACCGGAGCTACTGGCTTCATGGGTAAAGTCCTCCTTTGCAAACTGCTGCGCTCTTGTCCTGGATTGGGCAAGATTTATGTCCTCATCAGATCAAGCAGAGGGAAAGATGCTGTTACAAGACTGAAAGAAATGTTAACGTTGTCTGTAAGTTGGTTTTGCATCATGACTTAATGTCTTTTTGGTAGTTCAATTGATATTCTGAGACACAAATAATATATGTTAGTATTAGGCATACTTATTGTTTCAAGTACTAAAATGCTTCAAGGTTCAACATTTCAAAATTTTCCTGGTGGAGGACCTCCAAACCCCTCTCTGACTCCAGGTTTCCATACCCCCAGACCTCCTGAAAAGCCCCCTCCCCCCCCCCAAAAAACTTCTTCTCTGTATCTGTTGTTTAGCTTAGGAGTAGTTAGTGCAGAGAATAATGCCACACAGAAGTATAATCAGATAGGGAATAGTATATTTCATTACTAGGATCAAAAGTAGCATTTTCCGACGCTCGCTTAAGTTTCATGTGTGAAGTAAACCCGAAAACAGAAAAACCAAATTGCACGTGCGAGGCGAAGAGGAGCATGTGAGAGTCATTTTCATGTACGAGGCAAAACCGAGGACGGGACTAATGGAGCAAGTGTCGGATAATAGCTTATTGGTACAAGTTATGAAGGATACTTTTTATCACAACACAAAAATACACAGAATAAGATACCTCAGTAGTATTAAATTAGTTTTAGACCACTCTTTATCACTGAAAATACATTTCACTATGTACATATATGGTTTCATGATTATAGAGTTTTAAATAAATATATAAATAAAAACTTTGTCACTCACTACTGTAATTTGTACCGGTTTTTAAACATTTTGTATTCCTATTCATATATTTCCTGTGATTTCTCTGGTGGCATGTGATTAGTTACCTCTGAAGTTGGGTCGTACCTAAAATTTTCGTAAACTACTATTATACTAGCCTATGTTACATTACTGGTGGTGAACACATAGTTTTTCCAATAACATTAACATTATAAAGACAAATATTTATTTTCTAGTTGTTTGACGATGTAAGAAAGGACCCTGGGTTTAGAGAGGACAAGATTGTTGTTGTGGAGGGAGACATTACAGCTCTTGGGCTTGGTTTGAGTGAAGCAGATCGTGCGACAATTCTAGAGAACGTATCCATAGTTTTCCACGTTGCAGCGTCAGTACGATTCAACGAACCCCTTACCGATGCCATCCTCATGAATACCCGAGGAACTCGAGAAGTTGTCGAGTTGTGTCTCAAAATGAAACAACTTGTGGTAAGTTGTACATAAGAAAATCATGTACAAGGGATGAGCAGAAAGTGTTTTCAATAAAAGTTTTTCTATTCAAAATTTTCATACTTGACAAAACAAGTTTAACTGTACAGTTCGTTTTATGAGTGAAAACCCAAACAAAAAGAGGTCCATTAGCAATAGATGCTATTAAGCATGTGCGGGCAGACAGCAGAATAGTTGGCAGGCTTAGTTTTTTGGAGACAACATTTCCTCGTGGCAGGGAGGATAATATCAACAAGTTATATTAAAATCTTTTATCGACCATTGAATAGACATATTAGTTTCAATTGTTTGCTCATTTCTTCTTTACTGGTGTCTGCTGTGCAATAAACAATCAAGTGGTCGGTACGATCACAAACGGTATTGAAACAATATGCTCCTGGCTCGGCGATAGGAAAAAGTGCTTACCGCTCCCAGGTTGCTCAATGTTCATAAACATAATTATGTAAACATGTGCGAGAACATGTGGTTTTTCACTTGCAAAACAAACTGTAAATATTTGTACAGGTATAGTATTAGGCTATGTATTAATTAATTCATATAGCATTTGCCATGCTGCAGGGCAAGCAACTCTCTTCCCTTCTGCATAGAAATCAAGATCTGCTATTTTCACTGTTGGCTTATATATGTAGTTTAGTTACTGTAAATTTTGTAATACCTAATCAAGTTTAGTTACAGTAGCCTACTACAAAATTGGAAATGAGGAAATATTTTGAATATGGCCAAATGGTCTTGTATTCCTCAAATAATAATTCCCTTATTTTGTGTATGGCTATTGCTTACTAGTTCTAAGTCACAAGACTAAAGGCATAGTTTCATCAGAAAAACATCAATGCAACTGAATGTCATGATTGTTTACCCCCTCAGTTGTTTTAAAACTATATTTTTATGGTGCATTCGTGATGGTAAATCTATGTTGGCTATGAATATATGTCACAAAAAGTTTATATAGGTTTACATTTTTGCATACTAATTTTACTTTTTTGCTGAACACAAGGCGATTGACAGTTCATTTTAAAAACTAAGTTGCATGAACCTTATAAAAAGCTTGTCCCCAGCATTTTTTAATTTCACTATTATCATTCCCTTTCATTATGTTGAGTCAGTCATAGTTTAATTAAATGTATTTTAATTGGCTACCACTAGACCAAACGATACACTCAACCTGGGAGTTTCTGAAATGGAGGAACGAACAACAAACTCTGTCACTAATGATTTCTTAACCCTTCCCGGACGGGCGAAATCGTGACATAGGACGGGCAAAAATCATAGGAAAAAATAAAAATTAATTTTCCTTTTTTGTGTTTTATTATACGAATATACATAAAATAAACACAATGGAACACTTCATACTGTCCAAATAATTTTTTACTCGTTTTTATTTGAAAAAAAATTATGCGGATATATCCGCTCCCCGTCCGCAGATGAGTAGAAAAGCTGCGGATATATCCGCCACCCGTCTTTGAAGATATGACTATGACAACGTTAGGTAATAAATAAAGAACAATATGTTGTTGCGTTGTTTATTATATAAAACTGTTTCAAGAAAATAACACTTCAAGAAAAAGTTGAACTACAATTTCAGTTTTCAAAAAGTTACAAAATCATTTTACGGGGTTTACAAGGTGCCTGTAAATAGTCCATTCTTATAAAACAAGAAAAAATAACAATAATTTCAGTTTTCAAAAGGTTACAAAATCATTTTACGGAGTTTACAAGGTGCCTGGAAATAGTCCATTCTTCTAAAAATAGTCTTTTTGGGTGTGGTACACCTCAAAACATGTGTCTGGATGTAAGTACGGTTTTTCGTCACATGTTTTACAAAAGTACACAGTTTCCTTACGAACGTTTTTCTTTGCACAAACATGACATCTGAAGGACCCCTTCGGTGATTTGCCCATAACATGGAGTTTTCCGTTCAGCCGTTGAATATCATTTTTCGGTCGTCCTGGTCGTCTTCTTGCAAAATTGCAGGTCTCCTGAACGTAGTCTCTTACTAAATCTTCCACAAGGCTAAGTCTAAACTGTTTGTGAGACATTGCTACTCTGTTGTTGTCTTCTTGCAAGGATTTATATATAGAATATAAGAGTTTATAGTAGACACTTCAAGGAGCCAAAAGAAAAGTTTGCGATACCATTTTTTAGTACGCCTCATAAACTGATAACTAGATATCACGTGGTCAGCACGATCAACTCCACCCATGTGTTTAGTGTAATCTAAGACAACATCAGGCTTTAGAACAGGAGGTTTATTTGGCCACTTGCTGGGCTTCTCTGTCATCTCATTCCGGCTTATTTTGTGTTTGGTTGTAAGCAAAGTTACCACTCTTTTGTCCTTCCAATAAATAACACCCAAGTCTTTGTTTCTTCGTGCTTCTACATCACCACAATTGAGCGGTTTGCTTAGTGTTGGCATTTCCTTTCTATTATTCATAACCGTTCCCGTAACAAACATATTTTTCTTCAGCAACTCTTTAGCCAGTTCAGGGCTATTGTAGTAACGGTCGACGTATACATGGTGACCAGATGGAGGGTCCAGGGGATCTTTTACTAAAGAATCGCAGAGTTGTAGAACAGTATTTGTTGTTTTCAAAAGCTCATCCTCGTTACCATCACTTTTACTGTAATATGGGCTAAAACTGTAAATATACCCATTCAGAGCATCAGAAAGAACAAACACTTTTAGCCCAAATTTTACAGGCTTGTCGGGGTTGTAAACTCTGAATAAAATCTTGCCCTTGAATGAAATAGTGCTCTCATCCACTGACACATACGAGCTTGGCGTATAGAATAGTTTACATTGCTCTTGAATTGTGTTCACAATATTTCTTATTTTGAGGTCACGTGCACAATTCCTTTCGTCAAATCTTGTTCATCCCTAATTTGTCCCGAAGATCCAATTTGCCCAACCGAAAACCACTGCAGCTTGAAGCTTGGGGGCCGTTTCTATTCATTCATTGTCAAAACCCACAATAGGTCAAAGGGGATCACCTCGTGTTAAATTGCCCATCTTGTATGGGCCACCCCCTAGCGTGTTGTTTGTGGGGCACCGGGGGGGGGGGGGGGCAAGGTCACAATTCAAACGAAGCCTTTCCAACGGGAGCTGGGTAATTAGATTTCGTAGGTAATATGTCAACAGCCAGGATATAAATGTCCAGACTACAGCGTAGGCGTAGGGGGCTTTTGTTTTGTTTTCGAGTTGTGTGTTTGTGATTTATTGTCAATCTGTTTTATATTCCTGTTCGTCAGGCTTCCCTGTTCATGACTAAAGTGTAATCTCCAAAACAGCATCAAAAACCTATCTCGAGTAAAAACATTGGAAAAGAGGGCATCTTGTTTACCCAGGACAATGAAAAGTAGTCCTTTATATCAGGCAACGGGTGAAGTCCCATATTCAGTACAACCCCGAGAAGAGCTCGGATCTCTGTGGTTGTTGTATCAGCCCAAACCTTTTGTTTCCTTTGGTTTTGAATAGGCAAACTTTGAGCATATAGGTTGGTTTCATCACAAATCAATTGTATTAGATTACTATGAAAGTAAAGTGAAAAGAAATCAATTGGTTTTGAAGTGAGATCAAATTCTGTAGGCAGATTACGACCGTAATTGCAGTTATAAATAGGAATAGTACTTACAGGTCCACTGTCACTGTCGGTCACAAAAGCATACTCCTTATCCCACTTCATACGAAGGAGTTTAGCTTTAGTTAGATTTGGTTGTTGTGCCTCTGTAGACCTCTTTATAGATGGCTTTTTAGAGTTCTTTGCAAATGACTTTTTGGACGCCATTGTAGATTCATTGGTTGAACTATGAAGGCTTTCTTTTTCCGAGTCAATAAAACTTGAGGCATTCCCAATATCGTCCTCACTAACTTGTTCATCACTAATACTTTCCACTTGAACCACATTACATTCATCTTGAGGAACATCAGCGTCTTTGTCATTTTCGGATACAAAACCATTTACTATATCAATATCATTTCCATCGATATTTGCATTATTTACATCACAACTACGCACAGATATGTTGTCATCTTCGTCCAATTCCATTCCATCAACAGCAACATCACCCTCCGAAAAACTCTTGTTCAATAACTCAATAATATCACCAGAAAAACTAGTACTATTTACGTTATAAGCCATCGTGCATCACTATCTCATTCTGCTAGACAGACAACTGTAACGTTTGGCGCCAACACACAGACAACGTGGTGTTGAGCGCGAAACGTCGTGGGGGGTGTAGGAGAGGTGGTTGGTGTGAGGGAGAAAGGGGCGGCGCGGGAGAGAGGGGCAGCGCGGGAGAGAGGGGCAGCGCCTGAGAGAGGGGGAGTGCGAGAGAGAGCGCAGCCATGGATAGAGCAGGAAAGTGGCGCCTTGGTACCGCGAAACATCTGGTTACTGTTTAAGTACCTGCCAGTCTGTCTGAAAAGAAGGCGGATATAACCGCTTCCCGTCCGGAACATAAAAAACCATAGGCTGATATATCCGTCACCCGTCCTTAATCGCTAATGACTTATGCGGATATATCCGTCACCCGTCCGGGAAGGGTTAATACATTGTGTATGTAAATTGGAGCTACATTTCATGATGTAATCTTAAACAACATGTAATAATTAGGTTAAGTCTTGACATAGCTCTGTACTGATTGTTAATTTTAATACCCTTTTTGTAGATGAAATAGGTACAAGATACACAGTGTGCTGCTTATTTTGAGTAGAAACACTTCAAAAATAAGATTATGGTTCTAGTCCTGACCTTTGCAAAGTTAGACTAACATTTTCATTAATGGGACAGCCCTTTCGATGTACTGTATGGATTTAAAAATAAGACAATCAATTTTTTTAACAATTACCAGAACATCAATGTATCCACTCCTACAGTTAAAATAGTTTACTATTGTTTGTTCACTTGCACTTTTTAGGTACCCGTAAAAGTTAGCTTTACTATTTTATTTTTTACACATTTCCAGGCACTACTTCATGTATCAACCACTTATTCAAACTGCGAGCACAATCTTGTAGAAGAAGCTGTCTATTTAAGCCCAATGGATTGGCGTGATGCTATTAGAATCGCTGAAGAGTTGGACCCTGCAATTGTCAACACTTTTGCTACCAAGTAAGTGAATTATAGTTGTTGACTTCAGGAAGTATTTGTTTTGAAATAGGTATTTTGTTTACAAACATACCTTTTTCACATCGGCAGCGTCAATGAAAACGAGGAACTTTTATAAATTACTAGACAATCTACCACCTATAACATCAATAAGTAGAATCCTTGTCTAATTAAACTATAGTATATGTTTTATGGAAAATAACCATCAGCTGGCAGCCATGAATCCTATACTTAGTTGAAATTCAAGCACACAAAGTTTTTGATGAATACCATCAAAACATAAACACACATAAAAGCAGTTTACATTTTTTTTGGGGGGGGGGGGATTTGAGGTGTAGCTACCCCTTTCTACTCTGACAGCCCTACCAATAAGCTGATGTCCTGTTTTTATAAGGCCGTAACCCTTTTCCAATCTTTTCTAGAGTGATCTATCAGTATTTTTGATTGTTACATTTCTGAATTAGTCCTCCACGATTGCGCTTTCACACCCTTCTCTCAGTCTAAGATTTCTGATTGTGCTATACAGATAGATGTACCATTTTTTTTTTTTTTTTTTTTTTTGTGGGGGCTGGGGTAGTGGCATACCCCTAGCTACCTCGGCCTGGAGACCTTTTGTAGATGTACCATATTAGGACTCTGGTTCTGGTGGCTGGTATTTTTAGTACTTCATTGTCAGGGCATTGGCTCTTTACTGCCAAAATGTCCTGAATATCCTGGTGCTGGTATCCATGCTAGTTGCACTTGATTTTAACAGGCTGTGTGCTCCTGTATCCCTGTAATGTATTTGATTCCATCACACATGAGTCTAGAACTCTTAAAACAGCATGCTGTCTGTGAGAATCTGTATTTCGCCTCTCCTTATTCTCTTTTCTACAAGGTCTCCAGCTCAGCATTCAATCGCCAGAATGTCTGGTTGAAATATGGTTGCTGTGCTTCCTAGAGCTTGTGATATGTATGTTTTGTTCCCATTTACCCCTAGTACGGATCTTCTATCCCTTTGACTTCTATCTGTGTTATACACAAGGCATGATTTGCCTTTTTGAACTTCAAGGCCAGGACTTTTAACTCCATGCTCAGATCTAGAAGCCTCTAGCACAGCTTATGGGGAGGATTATCAAACTCTGCACACACTGTTGCAGGTCAGTTGTTGCAGCTGCTGCAGTGTTTTACTTTTACTGTCCAGAATACTACTTTTTTGGTAAGAATACTAGGGCCACATATTTCACCATTGGTTTTACAATGGTCCCATTCGTCCAGTAAATGAGTTGGGAGTTCCAGCCCCATTTCCTGCCAAAGTTCTTCTGCCGCCTGTAAAGGCAGCGAGGATGTGATCCATGTGTTTATTACAGGTCATCTTATACTCCATAAAGCTCCCAGGTATTTGGTTTCCAGTGCATTTGTTGTATTTTCTCCTCTTGTATCAGGGAATAGAGTTTTATCCTCATTCTTGTGAAGGTCACTCTCACAGGGCCGGCTAGAGGGTGGGGCAGGGGGGGCCCGGCCCGGTCAGATGTAATTTTTTTCTGTACATGTGATCTGCTTTAGTTAAAAATTTTAGCATAGTTTTCCAGTTCAGTAAGTAATTTTTGACTTGAATCGTTTTGACCGTGAATAAAGCTGCAAATGTGAGCAAACATTTTAGATATAGTTATTTGTGTAAGAAAACGGCACAGAGACGACTGGACACTAAATCAGGAAGGGCCCGGGATTGCTGAGCCCAGGGGCCCCTGACGGCTCTCGTCAGCCCTGCACGCTCAGTTTTTTTCTAGGTTCAAGTCCCTTTTGTGCACCATCTGCCAATGAAACTCCTCAATTGTACCTTATTATGGTTCCCTCTGAGAATTTCTAGCTTTTGTATGTTTTAGGAAATAATTTCTGTTCTATTATCTATTTTACTATTTTTCTACTACAGTTTAAGTACCGGAAGTACAGTGTAAGCCAAAATGTTTGTTTTGTTTTATGGTGACCGGTTGCTAGTCTGGTACAAGGACTCTCAGATAATGAATATTGGAAAATTCTGTATTTTTTCAGAGAACCGTAAACAAATCCCCACCTAAAAAAATAATTAAAAATATATAGAAGTAAACATGGAAAAAACAAATTTAGTATTAGTGTTTTTGATGCATAAAGGGAGAGGCAAGCTACTCTGTCTGCTCATATCGGCTCATATCGTAATGCGCATCATAAACAGATGATACCATCATGTAGGACTTATTTAAATAAACAAAATAAGACTTCAATACAACTCTAACTAGCAGCAAAACCTGGTAAAATTATACAATGTACAATAAGTGGTTGTAGAATTATTTGTTTTCTGTTTTCATAGATGTACACATATTAGTACTATTATATATAGAAATATGTTAAATATTCTTTGTAGAACACTTTACCTTAAATTGCAACTAAAATATTAACAGCATTTAAATTATCCAGCTGATCATAATGTAAACACATATGTTCTTCATAAATATAACATGAGAATTTAATAAGCCACTGGGACAGAGTCCAAGGGACTTTTTCAAAAATGTAAGGTCAGTTTGCAAATCTACACACCTAGGTGAAGATTTTGCTATATAATATGTGGGGTTAAATCTTAAAACAAATAAGCCTTATTATTGTTCTCAAAGTTTCATGTAGCGTATTAATAATATAGATGGTTATAAGCACGGCCGCCTTTAACTCCAGGCCGCGGCCTTCGAAGTGGCAACGTCCCAAGTAGGGTTGTAACATCTGTTTTGTTTGGAAGCAGCTATAATGGTATTTGTGTATTTACTGAAGCTTGGTTACTGCCATTTAGGTACTGGACTATGAAAATATTGACTCCGCTTAAAATGTACAGATATAGATTTTCAATTCATATTGTTTTGGTTTTCAATTCTGTATGTTTTATTTTCAATATTTTAATAAATTTATGTTAATAGATTTAAATTTAAATCAATAAAGTGTGAATTAATGAGCTGATGTCACCTGTCTGCCATGCTATCTTATAGGTACACTAAACACACTAAACAACCCTACTGACACTAAACAACCCTACTTGCGACGTTGCCAATTCTACCGGCGGAGTTAAAGGTGGCCGTGGTTATAAGTTTTGATACTGGTACTCAAAACTGATTTTGAACTAATTTAGTCCAAAGAAAGGTTTTTAAGACATTAGAACTGAAAAGAATGCAAATTTTAATGGTAATTTTTAATGCTCAAATTATAATACAAAACCTTATTTTTTTTTAATTTGATCAATGTTTAAAAAATTAAATACAGGATTCTATATAATTAGAGTGTCATTAAAAGTAGTGCTTAGTACTAATAAGATTTATTTAGTAAATCTATTCATTGAGTACTGAGTAGACTGTAATATTTATTTTTTACTCAGTCAAATACAGTATATATTTTCAACATGTTTAATCCAAATATGTAAAAGAGATGCATTTACTTTTTTCAGATGCATAGGAGAAAAGCCTAATACCTACACATTTACAAAGTGTCTAGCAGAGCATGTGATTTGGGATCACCGACATGTCTTGCCAATTATAATCTTCCGTCCATCAATCGGTGAGTGTTTTATTTAACTTTTAGAGTCGGGACCACGAAAGTTTGCAGTTGGCGGCAGCCAATCACAAGACAAGGCTAGTGCGACGTTGCCATATTGCCCGTTGAGGACACTAATTAAAATACTAAACAATATTTTCAAATCAGCTGGTATTATTAGATTTGGCAACACGGCACTGTCCTCATTGGCTCCTTCAAAGTCACGTGGTAAAAAGGCTCCCCCCTCAACTGCAAACTTACGTGGTCCCGACTTCAAAACAAAAAAAACTAACAATTCAATCAACTCAATTCCATCACTATGGATTAAGGTCGATTCACACATATCAGTCCAGTCACAGTTCCGTTACAGTCCAGTTACAGTCCAGTCACAGTTGCAACCGCAATTTTTTGGTCAATCTGTCAGTCCTTTGGTTTCAGTCACTCTTTCGTCACTTTATTCACAGTGTTGTTACAGTCAAAAATTTTTAATTAAAACACAATATTCTATCAAATTTTCATCGTCCGTCTTGTACTTAAAATATAAACTCGATCAATTAAATAAAAAAAGTACTATCATCTAACCTCACACACGTCCGTCTGGCGTCCGAACAATAAAAAAATATCGGTGAAAAGAAATCTAAAGTTGACTGACGGATGCCAGCAGAGCGACTGACGGAACTGCAACGGATGAGTGTAGATAGCGCAATAGAAAATCCATAAAAGAATATTTTTGTTAACTGTGACGTGCCTGAAGTGACTGCGACGTGTCGTAACTGATGTGAGTGAATCGACCTTTAGACATTTAGAAACCAATTTACTTTTTTGTTCTGATGTCCCCAGATGCCAAAAACTATAATTGCTTCTATCATCAATAACTGCTACCTTCCCTATAGCAGCAAAACTAAGTACTCGTCGGAGTCATGCCGTACTGGCACAGCGTGCGTACGACTCTGGACGGAGTCACAGTGCAGTATTATACAAGTTGGTCTACTGTGACCTCCGCATTTATCGGGGTTCAACTAAACTATGTCAGTATGTTGTGCTGGTCCTATACTTTAATTTGGTGTAGGTTGGTATTAAAAGTTCCTGTAAAATACCGTCTGGTTCCGTTTTCAGTGATTTTGTCTCAGGTGTTGCTGCTATCTGTGAGTTTTTCAGTGAACTACGTCCACTCTCGGAGTAGCACAGAACCATTACCGCCGCTTATTTTCCGCAGTCAAGACTGAAATATTTTAATTCCTATTGCGTTCGGAGATCGCTGGCGTGCCGAGGCTGCGTCATGTTTTAACCACCTTGCCAATGGGATTCTCACAGCGAACGTGTTAAGGAAATACTTTAGTAAAAAATCCCATCAGGCAAATTGGAATGTGCTCAGTCTGCAGGTTTGCTGTGAGCGGGCTATTTTATTTCATCCATTTGAGTAGGTTAGAATTAGAGGTGTGCGGATAGTGAAATTTCATTTCGGATCGGATTCGGATCGTATAGTTGAGGCTCGGTTCGGATCGGATTGGATATTGGGAGGTTCGGATCGGATTGGATATTGGGAGGTTCGGATTAGGATATTTTCGGATTCGGATAGTTCGGCGCGGTTTATAATAAGCTGCATATGTATTTTTAACCTATTAGAATGTTGCTTGCAGCACTAAGGCTAGATTTTATCCAATCGTGTTGTTGTAGTGGTATCAACATGGAAGGATCCAGTGCCTGGGTGGTTGGACAACCTCAACGGACCCGTGGGTGTGATGATGGGTGCTGGTCATGGTGTTCTACGGGTCTCCATGTGTGACCCTGATGTTGTTCCAGACTATATGCCTGTCGACATCGCCATTAGAGCAATACTCGTGGCTGTCTACCAGAAAGGAATTTCAAAGTACAGTAACTATCTTAAGTCTGGAGTACCTAGCTATTTAGTAGAATGTTCTTTGTTGACTAATGTGTGATTGTTCCTTAGTTCAATATTGGTTGCAGTAACCATGTTTGAGATATAAAAACTTATTTGTTTTCAATTCTTGGAATAAAATTATCAACAACAGCGGAAAGCAATATCTTCAAATTTCAATTAGTTTTCCAGAATAATCTGTTTAGAATGTAAACTCGCCATTATCAAAAATTAACTTTTAAACGAAGAATCCGTACGTGTGACACAATATTCCAAAGAGACATAGATCAAACTTTCTATGCAGCATAAAAGGATAGGTAGTTAGGAAAATTGGGTGTGTCTAGCGAGATGATGGGTGTCTATAGTTACAGTTCCTGGGATGGTCTTACAGTAACTAGGCTCCTCCTCCTGCAATTTCTTCTAGAAATCCTGCTCTGGGTTAGTTCATGCAAACTACACTCTAGGTGTTCTCACCCGCTCTAACTACTTTTCTGTGGCTCTACTGGGTCTTAAAATGATGAAAGCAAAATAATTCACAGAAATACATCTAAAAACAAGTGGACTAACACAATATTTGTCACGAAGTTTTGGAAACTGACATTAACTTTACTATTTGGCAGTTTTCAGGAGCCAGAGGAATACATATTTAATTGTGCATCAACGTCATCCTCCATTTCCAACAAGCAGTTGATTGAACTGGGTATGAAATTGGTTAAAGAGGTTCCCTTGACTACGACCCTCTGGTACCCAACTGATGATGTGACTACTAGTAGAACCTACTTCACCGTCAAATCATGGTTCGCTCACCTCCTGCCTGCAATTGCTATAGATTTTGCCCTCCGTGCATCAGGCCGAGAACCAAGGTACCATAGATAAAAATACATTCAGTCATAATGACATCATAGTTCAAATTATTGTGGGTTGGTGTCATCTTCTTAGTATCTAGATTTAAGAAATTATAACTATTCCAAACATGGCTATGTGGTCAAGCATAGAGATTGATTGGGCTGCTGATTATTTTTAAGCTATCCATGAAATTAAAACTATCCCATGTAAAAAATCAATTCATAAAATTCATTGAAATTTGGTTTTACTTGTTCAACTGCTTGACGCTAACTACTTATCCTACTTAACGATAACAACCTTAAAATTAATTACATTTTGTCATATGATCAATAAACCCTCTTAGACAATTCATTATAGTGGATGATTGTTCTGAGCAAACAGCTTGATGTGGTTGCCTAACTGTACCCATTTTTGAAAACATTTGTGTAAACATTTTTATTATTTGAATCCATTTTTCACCATAATTTTTTTTTTTATTGAGTATTTAGTATGATATGGAAAACAACCTCTCAGAATAGGGTTAGTTTGTGATGTGAAATCATAAATTATAACTTCAAAAACATTTTTAAGGCCTGTGTTTAGGAAAACAATTATAGGGTATATTAATTTATTACTGCTGAAAAATATAAATAAAAAATTTTCCAGACTGCTGAAAATCCAACGAAAAATATTTATTGCCATATTAGCATTATCATACTTCACATGCCAGGAGTGGAAGTTTAAGAATGAAAAGTTCATGAAGTTACTCTCTTTCATTCTTCCTGAAGACAAAGTAGACTTTGATTTTGACTTCAGTGATATTGATCCTTCAACATACTTCAGGCAATGTGTTTTGGGGGCTCGAGTATATCTCCTAAATGATCCAATTGAAAATATACCACTCGGACGAAAGAGATTTCAAAGGTAACTTATATTATAGTTTAGAATATCTTACTTGTGGTCAGAACTTGTGAATTTTTGTGAAACCTAAGACAACAAGAACAATATTTTTTTATGAGTAATCAATCGAGTTGTCAAGACGCATATTTGAATATTACAGTTTATGATTTTTATTAGTCTACGTCTACAGTTTTATCATGCCTATATACGTTTGACACACAAGTGTGGTCATACTAACCTAACTACAATTGAACTTTACTATGGACTAGATCACATACAGACATGGTACTGTAGGATGAACCCATGTAGCAGACTCTGCATAAGGAGAATCTTGAGGGTCTTGCAAAACAGTTTGCATTGTTATGGGATAGAGGTTTGTGCCATGACAAATCACAACTCAAAAATCATGCTTAATAAATTAGTACAATGGAATTTAAAAATACTATTGATATATGGAAGGTTTTTTCAAGGTTTCACTATTGTTGCCTGGAAAATTTCTGCAAATTATACAAAATTTGAAACTGCAAATTGTTTTCAGATATTTTAAGTTCAGAGGGTTTGTATTCAAACACAAACCACTGCTGGTGTAGAAATAAAGTTTAATTTTGTGATGATTAAGACTCAGAACGTCAAGAGAGGCAACAAGATATAACTCTTTCAAATTACCATTGTTTGGGGACACAAATCATCAACTCTAATATTCTGATTTATATTAGGCTTCTTAATATAGTTCCATCTTTTAGACAAACAAATGTAAAGTACATGCTCCACTCTTAAACTTTTAAACCTTTTGTGTTTTCTTGGATGGATATCAAAAGTTGGTCTTTAAATAAATGTAATTTGGATATTTATTCATGGAAAATGTTATTATTACTACGGAACTTCAATGTGGTTGATTTATTTTACAATTTACAGACTGTATTGGGGGGACAAAATTGTACGAGTGGCTTCCATCTTACTCGCACTGTGGTTGTTGGATTTGCCGAGACGGATGAATGACTTATGGACTACTGTGGATCACAACTACCTCATAAGTCTTTAGGTTTACTATGTTTAGAATAGATGCTACATAAATAAAAGATCAATTTTTGTATTTTTATATTGGACGTTTTGTTCTTGACTACCCTTTGTTATCTTTTTTCATTATTAAAAGTCTAAAGAGGTTAATTGTATACACATATGCTATCTGTTAATTTTAAATAATTTACTATTTAAAGATTGATAAACAGTTTTACCGTGAATAATATGAATAGGTAAAGAGATTGATAGTAATACCTATATTTATTGCTTTTAATAATCAGAATTTGTCATCAATAACACAAGTTTACATAGTAGTAACTTATGGGGCCGGTAATTCTAAATAAATAACAATTTATGAAAAGGTATTTGATTAGTTCAACTTTTGCTCATATATTTTACAATAAATAATAGTCCAGTCGGCAGGTAGAAAAAACAGGCGTTAGATGGAAAAAGGTCGGAAGTTAATGAAACTTGGGGATGTTGTTCATGGATGTTAAATCAACATTTTCCCAAGTTTTGGACCTCGAGGACCCTGTGGAAAAAGATAGTGGCGGAAAAACTTCAAAATTTTGGACACTTTTTTGCTTTTTTCTCAATAACTTTTTTCCCTTACTTCCTACCGAAAAAGCATACGTTGCACTTTTGTAGAGCGTTTAATTTCCTACAATTCTACAGTTCAAACATGTTTGTACAATAATTTGTTACCGAGCAATAGTATTTCAATTTTAATGTTTTTTTTTTAAATCACCAAAATATGAAAAAAGCAGATTTCCTACATATTTTTTTCTGTTGCATGCAAATTATCACAAAATTCTGTGGTAATTATGGTGCCAAGTTATAAGCACCATATTTGGATACACCCTCCCTCCGCCATATGTGAAAATTTTGTTATGACATTTTTTAGTTTAACATTTGTATTATAGTTTTAATGCATAGTTGATATGATTAAACGTTAAAATATTTTTAATTTTTTTTTATTAATTTATATATTTTTTATTTAAAAGTTTCCATATATGGGGGATTCCATATATGGTCATATCTGGTTATATTTGGTCCAAAACCAAATATAGCCAGATTTAAAAAATTGTATATGGCCATATATAAACTTTTTCATAAGGGTACTACCCACCTTTTCCAAACCCAACCCCAATTCTCAAATGCTAATTTTGTTTTGTTCTCCGATGAAAACCAACCATATTCAGATCTTGTTGGTATTGATATTAGTTACTCTTCGCAGCTGAGGTGTTATCGAAACCACCTGCTGTGTGGAGGAAAGGAGCAGAAACTTGGAGAGTAGAGGACACTGGGATTTGTGCCTCTTCCACTTTTTATGAAGATAGACGTTATTTGTATTATGTAGTTCCTAATGCTGTCAAGGGAATAAGTGTGTTCTATATATATTCGCTAGCCTTGGATATGGCGGTGTTGACGATCATCACGTCGGCGTCCTCATATGCTTGTAGTTTTGTTCCACACCAATTTATGTAACCTCTAATTACGTTATATTTACTGTTGACAAGGTTTACTTTCTCTATAGGAGTGAAGAGTGAGTACATTACAGACTTTGTTCCCTTGCACATTCCTTCCTCGATAAAGATTGATATGGGTATGTAAGGGGGCGAGTTCAAACTTAAAGATCTTATTTATATACTACTCAAATATTTTTGTAACGCAGACACACTGGAAAAGAGTGAGAGGATAGACAGTGAGTTTTTACCAGAAATTTTCAACGAGCATGAAACAGAAGTGAGAATCACCACCTTGTCCTTTCGTTTGAGTTTCAATTCTTCAAAATTTTCATCCATTATTTTCTTCATGCATGATATGCTTATCTCTCGTGTGAAAAGGCAGTTAACGTCAACATGACCAATGATTCCTGTGCTCAATGAAACTATCTCCTGGGAATTGGGGATGTTCAGTGAACCATGCGAGCAGTTTATCAATGGCCATGTTGTCTCTCACTACATGTGTTGGTCTTATGTCTAAATGTTGCTCACTCAGATGATGTCTCTGACCGAAAATCAGCGAACAATTCTACTTGCTCACAAATGCTTTGAAGACACAGCGTGCCTAATGTACATCTAGAAAGCACAAAATCGCTTACTCCGCGTCCACGAGTGAGTCCTCCATAGCTCTTCATAGCCCGCGTGAGGAGCATATCTGGTAGACTACCAACCAAACGAGACTAAAATCAATATATAACTGTAAGCAACACAGTGCGGCAACACGACAGAGTATATAAGGCAAAATTACTAATTAGTGAGCAAAGATTAGTGAAGACAGAAAAGAAACCTTATTGCAGACTGATGGATGCTTTGATGATAGTGTTTAACAACATATTAATCAATTGTAATTTCATTTTGTTTGAGTTAAGCCTCCGAATCACTGATCAATACGTGTACTGGTGAAATTACCTGCTGTCAAGTGATCCTTTTGACCTTGAAAGGCGACCGGTTTCGATCCTCACGGGATCATCTTCAGGCGGACGTCGTCATCGTCTTTCCGTTCTTGCGAACACGTCGTTTTTTAAAAAACATTGAGTAGACAGTTTTTAACATTTAAAACACAAAAACACAAAACACGAAAAATGGCCAATAACTATTATGGTACCGATCGGTGGAGCGGCGGGCGACACGGAAGTTGAGTCTAGACAAAAAAAAACAAGTCTAGACTCAACTTCCGTGTCGCCCGCCGCTCCACCGATCGGTACCATAATAGTTATTGGCCATTTTTCGTGTTTTGTGTTTTTGTGTTTTAAATGTTAAAAACTGTCTACTCAATGTTTTTTAAAAAACGACGTGTTCGCAAGAACGAAAAGACGATGACGACGTCCGCCTGAAGATGATCCCGTGAGGATCGAAACCGGTCGCCTTTCAAGGTCAAAAGGATCACTTGACAGCAGGTAATTTCACCAGTACACAATTGTAATTGTGAAATATCCTATAATACATAGAAGATAATGTAATATTGTGGCAGTGTGAAACCAGGGTGTAGAAAGCCACCTTGATCAGCTGAGTGTGGTGTAGTATCCGGATATGGTGCTTATAACCTAGGACGAAAAGTACTACAAAATTCCGTAATAATTTGCGTGCAACAGAAAAAATAAGTAGAAAATCTGCCTTTTTGCATACTTTGGTGTATTTTAAAAAATATATTAAAATAAAAATACTATTGCTCGGTAACAAATTATCGTACAAACATGTTTGAACTGTAGAATTGTAGGAAATTAAACTCCCTACAAAAGTGCAATGTATGCTTTTTCGGTAGGAAGTAAAAGAAAAAAGTTATTGAGAAAAAAACAAAAAAGTGTCCAAAATTTTGAAGTTTTTCCGCCACCATCTTTTTTCCACAGGGTCCTCGAGGTCAAAAACTTGGGAAAATGTTGATTTAACATCCCTGAACAACATCCCCAAGTTTCATTAACTTCCGACCTTTTTCCATCTAAAACTACCTGCTGACTGGACTATAAGTTAACAGTCACAATTAAGTTTGCTGAGAAACGAATTTGGTAGAGTTGGTTTTCAAGACTTTTTAATTGCTCAAAAATCCCCCTTCTCATTATCAGAGCGGACTGGTTTGTAAAGTCAAATGAACATTTCCATCAAAATCGGAGAATTTTTGGAAGAGTTATAACACAACGAAAGAAAGATACGTCAATAGCTACTTCTCAATATGGTAATTCTCCTAGAAGTTAAATACTACACTCACCGATTGATGGTGGAAGATTATAATTGGCAAGACATGTCAGTAATCCCAAATATGTATTTCCGAGTATCTGTAGTCTCGGTGGTGTACTGTATTGCAGATGGGATTAGAGACAGATCGGCGATCGAAGATGCCCAGAGAACGAGTAGGGATAGGGACATAGAGGTCAATGAGATTGAAAAGTCCAGGGCAGACTATTTCACCATAAGTAGAATTTTCTATTGGTAGACTAAATGTACGATTGTCATATCTTGATCAGAGGAACCAATCTAAGATTCCCCCATGAGAGCAAAAGGACAGAGGAGGAATTCGTAGCCCATCCGGACTCTAATGATCCTCAGCAAGAATCTATCTTGAATCGTTTGAATACTTTGGTCTTGTCCCAATTGATGAGTCAACCAAACTGAAATGCTGTATCCATCACGAGTCTAATAATTAATGAGAGCAGTATAAATATGCCTTAAGGTGCTTCAACGATCAGACCTGCTCTAGCTGTTGTGATAAGAAACACCAGAGTTTGAGATGCTTTAATATGTGCATCAGGGAAGAAGTCGGAATTGAGACCATAACACTCAGATCACGGATGGACTTTAGACGAGTTAGAATAATGTGTTGTCCAACAACTTAACAAGTAGTCAAAAGGGACAGTTCTTTAAGAATCATGAGAGGAGAGAGTGGGGGGGGGGGATTTACTAACATTTATCTTAAGGCAGTTCAGATAGCACCAATGAGTCAAGGTGTCTAAGCATTGCTGTAGACTAAGACGGTAGGAGGCAGAGGAGATGGTGGAGTAGATCTTGATGACATCAGCAAAAAAACAGGCCGTTTTTGTTCAAGTGGTCCACAATGTAATTCGGGAACAACGTGAAGAGGAAAGGAGCCAAGTGCGATCCTATGAAACCCCAGAGGTAATCTGGATAGGCAGAGAGATGGACCCTGAGCTTACAGCAGTGTGTGGATGAAGTGCTTGTCAGTTACAAGATTTGTAGCAACAGGTCTTCCTGGTTTGAACCCACGTTTTCTTCCTTCATGCTACTTAGGCAGGTTGAATGACAAATAGGCCTAAAATGGTGTGCATTGGCTAAGTCAGAGGACTTGTTCATAGGGATGACATAGCTGGTTTTGAGTCTGTCCGAGAGTATTCTAAGTTCCAAGAATCTATTGAAGATCACTGTTAAGTGAGAGACCAGCAAGGAACTGAAATTTTTGAGGGGGCTTTCATCAGGGCCAGTGCCTAGGGATCAAATAAAGCCAGTTTTTGTTCAAAAATCACTCTCCTAGAAAACAATAATACAGTTTCAATGAAGTGTCAAAATTGTAGTCTAGGATGGAGCCATCCCATTAAGAGAAGACTGAGGCGAGCGAGAAGTGGTT